TCTTCAACAGTCGCCAGAAATGAGCAATAACAGACAATGACTAGAGTGCACCGTTTCTTTTCAGCAACTTCACGCCCGTGGTGCAAGCATTCTAGAGTCGGTCCGGCTCTCTAAGCCCAGCACAGCCTACCTGCTAATAATAGACATCGACCGAACTAGCTCACGTACGTGACGGCTCTCGGTTACGTGCATCATCTGGCTAATGCAACCTGAGACTGATTCTCCGCAACACAGTGGATTGAAGTTGGTAGGAACATATTCATGTTACATACATTTTTACCTTTCCTTACGGTTGCGAGAGTCGTGATAAATGGCCAGTATAAGTTATGATTATATAATTATACGATATGATTATAAGATATTAGATAATGATATCTGATCAATGTCAGTCGTGTAGAAGTATAAATGATTCTAACGACCATGAGCACAGCAGAAAGTCTCATAATCTATCAAACATTTCCTTATGCTGACTGCGGCTGGTCGGGAAGCAATCGCATAACCATTGTGAGGTCAACTCATGAATAAGTTCGGCCTAACTTGCGGTCGAGTCTCCGATGCAATTTGAGACATTTCCGTCACACTAGCAATTTAAGCTCCAAGTTTCACAGAACTAAGCCAAAGTTATGAAGTTCGTGACTCATATCATCAGCATTATTGGGCATTGAAGCCTGAATACGTTTGCGTCCTCCGGCTTGGCTCGGCAAGCTACCCGGGATTTCAATAAGGGATTCCTTATTAGGCAGATGGAACAATACAACACTTGCATTGAAGCAATAATGGTGCATATCAATTTTTTTTTACATCGAAGCAAATATTATTCGTATCAATATGCAAATTGTAGTGTCAATATTTAATTGACAAAAGGCACAATTATCGTCTTAATGCATGCAACTTTTTCACATGCATGTGCAACTTTTTTTCGCCAGCGTAGGTATCACGCTAGAAATATCATGTTAGCACACGTAGCTTAAAACGATATGAAAATTACACATTTCCTTTATGCTTAAAGGTAGTGTGCCACCTTTGAAAGATTTCCCATTTTATTTTTCCTAGGATAAGAAGCTTCTGTTTTTACCTAATATCGCAAAAAAATCAAAAATGGGCCTGGAATAGTGCCTTTTTCGCCTAAAAGTTTTTCGGTTTTTAGATATGTATAACAACTGTAGTGGGCTCACCTGCAAACAGGCGTCGGGCAACAATCGCGAATGCGGCGCACTTGTGACAATAAGCAAAGGTCATTATAGTGTTACGACCATACGACGTACGGGAATGAGTTATCAGCTGTCTAATCGTAGACAACACAATGTCGAGCCTTAAACTGTAAGCCCGTATTGGTATTGTTTCTTTTATTTGGCTGTCGAACATTATTTATGGTTTGAAATATGACTTTTATGTAAAATAATTGATATGAAAAAGCCGTCTTATAAGTTATGACCCCATTTCACCACACGCAAGTGGCAGAAATGACAATGATCAGCTGACGCATTTTTCTTGGCCGAAGTCAGAGCGCGCGGCCCGACGCACCACGCGTATTTGGAAATTCCGACCTCGACGAGCATCAGAAGCCACCTAACAGGCGTGTTCGAAACCGCAGGAGATGATGATGAACGGGTTTATCGAAACTTGATTGGATGAGCATATCGGTAATAGCGATTTCAGTGTGTGCATTTATTGTTCATAGTGGTGTGAAATGTGGTTGGGGTACGACCGACAACCCGTCGGGGCGAATTTCGCACTGGGGTACTCAAAATTTGAAGAATTTAAGACGTTTCCATGAGTTTTGAAGGTATGGATAAGTTCTAAAAATCCGGTTCTCCTTACCTGGGCCATTAACCCTCGCACGACCAGGCCATTTCTCATAACACGAACGACCAGGGGGGGGGTTGTTACGACCCCCCCCTGGCGTTTCGAAACGGAAGGTCGTAGAGCTTAGCGGAAAAAACCAACGGATTGCTCTCAACGAGATCTCGCGATTGGTGGTATATTTTTTGGTCCTAGATCAACATTTGACCTACTTTTGACCGGTCAAAGGTCAAATTTTCGGAAAAATAGACTTTTTTCAACTTTCGGCGGCGATTGCGGCAAAACGGTGGGAGATATCGACTTGAAACCTTCACTATCGTGTTTCTTGATCAATTCTCTATCGTTTGGTATGTATTTCGTTTCCCTAGCTCTAAAAATGGCGCGTTGGGAGCGCCGGAAGTCGGCAAGGTCACAGTTGGCGGCAGAAATTCGAAAAATCACAATTTAAATTTTTGAAATCTGATTGTATTTTTGGATTTGGGAGGTCCATTTGCTCCCTATAGAAGCTAATATTGCTGCATATTCCCATTGAGGTGACAAGAATTAGCAAAATAGTGGTTCGGGCGCTTTTCAAAAATAGTACCGGACGCTGTTCCTCTTGTGACGTCATAGCTCCGTGACCTGACCTGACCCGGTCAAATTTTTTATACCATATGATAGCCAATACTTGCCCCAACATGCATGGGAAGTTTCATCACGATCCATCAACCGATGTCCGTACCACCGGCAGGAAACCTCGGGCGTTGGCACTCAGTTTGTGAAAATCCGGCCGGAGGCTGTACCTCTTATGACGTCATAACTCCGTGACCTGACATGACCCGACCAATTTTTTTTCGGCAAAAGATGCGCAAAGGTTGCCCCAGAGGGTATTGAAAATTTCAGCCCGCTACGACAAGCCGTTTAGCGTGCACTTCGAAAAAAACTCAGGGGGGGGGTTGATACAACCCCCCCCCCCCCTAGGCGTTCTAGGGTTAACTCCATACGGTCCAAGAAAGCTGGCACACTACCTTTAAAAGTGCCTTCTGTCACGTTGAACGTCTGGCTGAAAGGAGACGATAACTATTTCTCTCTGGATTCCTTGCGCGAAACTTCTTGGACGCTGGCTGACGTCACCTGAGGCCGTGACGTCATTAGAACCGAGGTGCGTAGTTGCTGTTCGGTAATGTGAGATGTCTCAGGTATAATTAACAGTTCGCGTATACACGTTCATGGGAGCTGATATCAGAAGTGATAGGGCCACCAGGAGTACATACAGTTCCATCTGGGCTAGTTTGGAGACTCTGCACCGACGGCCGATAGCCGGCACGGGGCGTTCTGAGAGGAGCGGGGAGGTGGAGCTTTAGTCGGAGCGCCCTCTCAGGCTGCCGGCATTAACTGGCTGATAGCTGCCGCCGCCGGTCTGAGAGCGGGCTTGGCGAAATCATCACCGACGTCCTCATCGCCGTCATTATCTTCGCCGCAGCACAGATTTTATAGCCACTCTCTGCATAGGGGAGGAGTGCTGCTAGCTTGGATGTAGGCTACACGCCTACACGGTGTTATTTTTCTACACGTAATTTCTGAACGGTGTCACAACAGACGCTGATATTGAGCTCGGACGACTTCAGTCGACGTCAAGATCCAATTATCGACGCTCGCCTCACAGCAGAGTCTGTCACAGACAGCACGCCATGCCTGACGGGCGGTGATTACATACTGACAGGGCCAGATGCTCACGCGAACTTCCGATTGCCTCACGCGTCGTGCCTTCTCCCCCGTCGCTTCCCCATGCCGCTCCCTCTTTGCTGTTGCTGTCTATTCGTGTCTCCCTCCCGGCTCCCACTCACCACTTCTGCTGGCCCCGCTTTCTCCCTTTTTGTAATGTCGCTATCCGCCGGCAGCTCACAGCGTTCGAAACGGGAGGGTAGACTGTACCGCACAACACGCTGGTACTGCGGCGCAGCCTATACTCCAGCGACGAAAGCTGCAGTGTGGACCGGCGCGTCAGGGAAAGATAGGATTTGATGGATCAGGATGGCTCGATGCGAATCAGTCGAATTGCAATGGAAAAGGTAAATCATTTTACAGAAGACAATGCATTTTTCATCGCTCGTCCATGCCTATGCATGCATCAAACCACGAATAAATTATGTTGGCAGACTCAACACTGCACACTATGATGGATACCGTTTTCCAAACAACCCCTATAACCGAACAAACCACCTAAAGCGTAGTTCCAGAATCACTCACTGGAGTCCAAATCTGAAACGTGACCGCTCTAAGCAGCGGGCTCCCGGTGGATCTAGCTCGGAGTGTGGTCGTTGATAGCGCTCTCAGGGGCGCGTCAGGCACCGGTGCATTTATCATTCATGACGTCACGCCGCCGGAGAGCGGGGTGCCCAGGAGTCGGTTCAGTCGACACGCCGCCAAATATGAATGGCTGTCACGTCCGTCGGCTCAGGGAGCGCCATGCCATGGTACGAGGGCTGCTCAGGGAGGTCAGAGCTGAGAGTACGGCAGTCTAGGCTGTCGACACCGACGGAGAGATATGTGCAGCTGAACGGTGTGTGTTTGTGTGCGAGGGGAGGGAAATCAGTGTCAGAGTGATTTGATGAGACAATAATTTTTGTTTTGCTATGACGGCTCCAGCTGTAGTCTAATTTCCATTGTAAATATATGAGTCTGGCTGACAATTTCTGCTTCTTCTAAATGCAGGCCGAACAGCTGTTGACGAAGTTGATGATAATTTCTCAAGCATACCAAAGCCAGCTGCTTTGAAATGTCGAGTGCTAAATAAACAGATGATATAAAAAGGCAATAATTAGGGTACTTTGTGTTTGAAAAGTATAGCAAAAATGTCGTGTGTTCTTAGGCTCTGTTTGCGAGCCGCATTTCGGCAATAGTGTCGTGTGCTTGACTGTGTATCAGTGCTTTAACAAGCTATTACATCATGATGTTATTTGCTGAAGTGGTCCACCATGACACAGAGTCTCAAACTAAACTGTCGCAGCGAATTTCCGACGATAGCGTGGTGGCTCTGCCCACACCAAACAGTCCAACCCCGTGTTGTCCGTATCATACCATCCCATCCCACAGCCCACCCCTCATCCCCTACTGACACAGTAACACTATACCCCAACCAGCCCACCTTAGATACCTCAGACACCTTAGAGGCCTTAGACACAACCCATGACGCTGACCTTGACCTCTGACCTCAGGTACGGTCCAGGGGCCGCATGAGAAGCGCATCCTCAACGACCTGCTCAAAAACTACAATGTGCTGGAGCGGCCGGTGGCCAACGAGTCCGAACCGCTGGTGGTCAGCTTCGGGCTCACACTACAGCAGATCATTGACGTGGTGAGTGACGATCGGACGGCAGGACCGCGCAGAGGGTCTGACCCCGGGTCAAGGGTTCCCTCCCGTGATGCACACTCACAGTCCGTGCATGGGCGAGGCGTATGAGGAGACGCATGTGTTGTCAGGGAGACATGAACGCGTATGGTTCATAAATAGCTGATCTTCCAGATTCATGACGTGAAGGAGACTATAAAGTGTCATCTCTTTTGGTAGCATCAGAATGAAATAAATAGAATAGAGTGCTAAATGATATTATGCTTGCAAGAGAATCCGACCAATAATCAAGACAATTCTGGCCCATCCATTGAATACGACTTACCTATATCGCACAAGCAAGGACTTTTCATTTTTTAAATTTCAAAATAACCGTTTCCTGGACATTTCATTCGTGAACGTCTAACAATATTCCTTTTCTTTTCTCCTCCCAACACCGTCTAATCTACACCCACGCGGGACCGTTTTTTGCGCCGTTAGCAGCTGGAGCGGCCATTTTCCCCGGGAGCAGTCACATGTGTGGCATAAACTACACAATAATGGCTGCGACAGGGCTGTGTGAGACAGATTTGCCGTTTCATTACGTTCAACAAACGAGGAACCAACGGCCCAAGTCGGCGGGGGTGTTCGGCGGAGAGAATGACACCGGGGCTGGCTAAAGCACATGACGTAAAATGGCAGCGAGCGTAACGAATAAAATTGCAGCATGGAAACAGATCAGTAGACAGATGGACGGCAGACGGATTGAGACATCAAGCCGCATCCTTTGACACGTTTCTATTTCACTGACATTATATTTTTTATCAATTTTCCATGCTGTTTCCCCTCCACAGGCATTCATTACGATCATTATACATGGTGCACTATATATTACTTTTGTATTTCACAATTGGTAATAATGATCATACCGTGCATGCAATTTATGTTGTAATTAAGTGAGGAAAAGTCGCTGGAAAACACAGGATAAGTCGGCACTCAGCTCATGAATATCGTTAATGTTACCATGCATATTTTTAGCGTGATGACCGTAGATTCATGTATTTACAGCGGCTTCTTTTCCTTATTAATTAAAAAAGTCTCTTTCAAATATTCAACTAACAACCTTCTCACCGCTTCGCATTCCGTCCGGTGGTGCCCATTGTGCCGAAGACTGAGCGTTGATGTCAGATAGCGTGTTACCGGCCGGTTTCGGTCGTGTCGTGTTGGCACTCCGGCTCTGAGAGCACCGGTCAGCCGCTCGGTTCGGCTCGCGGCGCCGTCCGACGCCGCTGCCTCCATCGACCTGTCCGAGCCGGCGACGGTGGCTCCGGACCGGGCCGGGCCGCGCTGCCGCCTCCTCCTCCCCGGTCCGCGGGGACTGCCTCCCGACGGAGAGCCTGCAGAGGCCGACACCGCTCCCTGAGAGGCTGCACAGCCGACACTGCCCGACATAGGCCAATAAAGGCCGATACAGGCCGACACAGGCCGGCACCGCTCCCTGAGAGCTGCAGAGGCCGACACCGCTCCCCGAGAGCTGCACAGCCGACACTGCTCCCCGAGAGCTGCACAGCCGACACTGCTCCCCGAGAGCTGCACAGCCGACACTGCTCCCCGAGAGCTGCACAGCCGACACTGCCCGACATAGGCCAGTATAGGCCCCGACACAGGCCGACACCGCTCCCTGAGAGCTGCACAGGCCGACACAGGCTGACACCGCTCCCTGAGACTGCAGAGGTGCAAAAACCTCTTCAGCTGTCACATACTTTGCCAGTGGCACACGGAATCTGTCACGCAGCTTCCATCCACCAGGTGATGTCAGCTGACGGAGTTTACGTTGAGATGACTGGATGTTACTTTTCCCTGATCTATGAAATTTTAATCATTTCTTGAATTTTAACATATTTTAGGACAGGTTCCAATAATAAGGCACTCTTCTTATTGAGTTCCTTGAGACCTGACATTTATTTCTACTGTTCTTTTCTCAACAATATTCAAATATTGAAACCCTTAAAACACCTGCCTTCGGACTCTGATTATGCAAATGCAGTAAGTAGGTGTGCATTAACTATAGTTAGTACTTTTATAAGACTAACTATTATGATAATTCACTTGAGATAAATAAAATTAAGTTGGTTTAGAGGCAGAAATGACACACAGCCTGGTACACAACGGCACCCTACACAATAGAAAGCATGAAAATGGGTAAGTGCCTATATGCTGCAAACCAAAAACATTGTCAATTTTCTAACTAGAGGCCAGGTATTGTCAAAGCTATGGCCTAGTTGAAAGAAGGTAAGCACATTTTGGATAGGTACTGAAAATCATTAGAAAAACTTGGATTATGTAAAACGTGTAGGCTGCGGCACAAACAAAAGCAGGTTATTATGCAAACATAACCTGAAGGTCGACGGAGGGGCAGCATTTGAGCTGCCCAACATTTTATCAATTTTCCTCCCAAGGTTTTGCACACAAAAATGGTGATGCCAGCCTTAATCTAAAATATTTCATTCATATGATTCAAATAAAAATGTGAATGCATCCTAATTGAATACTCATCTATTTCAATTTTGACAGCAGGGTAGACAGCCAAAATTGGATTCCCATATCAATATACACTTATGCCAAATTTTCTGACTGAGTTTTTGTATGCTGACAGTTTTAGCTGAATCTCACCTCAGGGGTTATTGGCTATTGCTCGTCTTCATCTTACATCCACATGCTTCAAGACTGATTGAACTATAAATAATACTATCCACAGCATACATCTTGTGCTGGGGGCATACAAACAGCCCGCACATCTTGCCCGCGCAGCCGTAGTAATGCTGTTGGATCCCATACTGCCTCACCTCACCTCCCTAGCCCGGCTAAGACACTCAAAACACACTGTCACAAACTGTCACAGCCGGCGTGACAATCCGCCGGCCTCTCGCCAACTCCACGGCCAGGCAATGGGGATTTACAATGGAGACAGCCGCCGCGTGACAGAATCCGCCGGCTTTTTGCAGCCCCCCGTAAATGCGTACAGTTATGACGCAGCCGTTACGATTATAATCCACAGCTAATTTACTGCAAAAAGTAAACTTACTGCAAAATGACAAATGAGTAGAAGTGGAGCCCCGTAGTAGCTAGCTATCTTACTATTCGCATTTATATGGAATATAGAAACTGACACTCTAATTGGTGTCTACTTGACCGTAATCTGTCACGTTTCATGGGCTAAAAGTGCTACCTCTGGCACATACTCTGGTTGGCGAGTTGGCAGGTTTTTGCACCTCTGCCTGAGAGGCTGCACAGGCCGACACAGGCTGATACACGTCGACACAGACCGACACCGCTCTCTGAGAGCTGCACAGGCCGACACCGCTCCCTGAGAGGCTGCACAATCGCCACGCACTGTCAGAATGTGGATCGCTCATGATTGTTCAATACAATACAATATAGGCCGACACATGCTGATACACGTCGACACATACCGCCACCGCTCTCTGAGAGCTGCACAGGCCGACACTGCTCCCCGAGAGCTGCACAGCCGACACTGCCCGACATAGGCCAGTATAGGCCGATACAGGCCGACACAGGCCGACCCCGCTCCCTGAGAGCTGCACTGGCCGACACAGGCCGATACAGACCGACACAGACCAAAAAAGGCCGATACAGGCCGGTGCAGGCCGATACAGGCCAACATAGGCCGATGCAGGCCGACAGGAGTTGGCGGGGGACTAAGACCTCACAAGAAGTGTTGTAGTGCTACTGCTAAGAGAGCTAATGGATGTGATGGGATTGCTTTTTGACAGCTCTCACAGAATCGGCCACGCAGGCCACATGATAAATCTAATGCCAAATAGATCAAACAGGGGAATGCCGCATAGGTAGCCCAAATTTGGCACACAGCGGAGGGTAGCAATGTACCGGGAAATACAGCTCGCCATGTGGCGGCTCGTGTGTCGTATATAAATAATGTAATAAATGAACGGAGATCACATGTGCAGACGCCGAGCCAATAAACGACGAGCACAGCACTGGATCCGGGATCACAGCAACTAGCAATCAAATATAAATATCATATGATCCGCTTCTACACGGAACTAACCAAATCCGATTAATCTTGTATCTAATTTGGGTCTTGGGAAGATAATGTACAGGTAGTCTAGCGATTCGGTGTAAAATATTGCCAACATTTTTAACAGACAGCGTACATCGCGTAAATGAGTGAGCTGCAGTAGAACTCTAATTACATCACCCATAATGACAGTCAAACGTGCACAATCGTCGGTCTCTCCACATATTGCCGCTTCTTTGTGTCGAGAGCCTGCGGTCGGCTCGCGTCCTGTCACGCCTCTTTGTACGACTGCTGCGGTTGTTGTCCTTTCCGTCATTGTTCAGTGGGTGTATGAGCCATTCATGGGTGCCGTTTCCGTGTATGGTAGCCGATGTATGTATACTGTATAGGGAGTCGGTGGTCAGTCTTTTTACGCTACTCCTCTGTGAGAGTGTGGGGGCCTTCTGGCCCGCTTACTGTGCTGCAGGTGGTCGCTACGTGTACCTACTGTGGCTGCTCAGTGAGATAAGTGGGAGCTAGCCTGTTGGTCGGTTCTCTGTGACTCTTATTCACATCCTGTCATTTCTCTCTGCGAGTGTGGGATGCTATAATTGCTGTACTGCTCCTCCGAGTGGGAGCAGGCCTTTCGGAGCCGTTGGCCAGTCCACATAGCACCACCGCTCAGCTCAGGGTTCCGCAGCCACTCCTGCACCCGACGTTTCAGGCCCGCTGCGCCCGGCGCGGCGGCCCCTCTCCACTACGCCCGCCGATCCAGGGCTGCTCAGCCCGCCGTTCCACCGCTGCTCCGCTCAGCGTTCCGAGCTGTCGGCCGGCGCGCGGTCGGCGATATATGCCGGCCGGCCGGAGCAGGCGCCCAATCCACCGCCGGATGGCTCCATACCTCCTGGCTGACGATGGGCTTATTGGGATCAGCGCACGAGCGCCACGCCGAAACAGGCCGCGGCCCGGGCCGGCCAGCTCTCCTGACACGGCCGGGCGTGCCTGTGACGGGTGTAGCAGAAGTGAGCCACCTGTGTATTTGTTCAGAGAGCACAAAGAATAGCACAAAGCTTAGGTAAAGTTCATGATCTGGATAATATCGTTAGCGGTGGTGTAGCGACTTCTGCGTGAAGCGTGGCTGAGCTCATCTTTTGCTGTTGGGTAGATCCCACCTCCGGAGAGATTCTATGCACGAATAGCTATTTGATGCGGTAAATCCTCTTGGCAGTTATCCTTAGGAAAGGCTTTTATGATCGCATAGCTGTCAGATATGAAGTAGCGATTTTCTCGTGCCTCCGTATAATACCAGTGAATGCCGCGCGGCTTCCCATATTGTGCTGGGTGGAACTCGTCATTTGGTCGTCGCCGTGAGCAGATTATTTACAGCCCTGCGGGCAGATGTAAGGGCGGCTGACGTTCTGTCTATTATACAGTGCCGCAACTGGCAAGCACCGATGACTAAAATCATGAGAGGGCAGCTTTAAAACAATTATTAAATGGCAGTTTTTGTTTCCAAGGACCTGTAGGAGACTTCACGTGTGTGCCATGTGGGTGGGGTGTGACAGGTTTATTTGTTGATTATGATGGTGTGTGGGTTGGGAGGCTGCAGTCCTCTGTCATCTGACGCACCGTCCTCTAAACTGTTGCTGTTTGTTTCCGATTCGCCGCCGTAGGATGAGAAGAATCAGCTGCTAATTACGAATGTGTGGTTAAATTTGGTAAGTGACTGGCCTGCCGATAACTAGATGGAACCGCTGTCTGCTCATGTCGGGACCGTCCGCACCTGTCAGCTTGAACGACTTCTCAAAGTCAGCTGCCGGTGGCACGATCAATAGCTTTCTATCAAAAGCTTTGCTATCGCTTTTCTCTGTTGGGCAATACTCTCTTTGGCAGCGACTACCTGACATATGTGGGCAGTGAGTTCTCATAACAGTCCATACCTGCACTTGTCGCTTCATCAGACCCGCATGCATCAACATCACATTTTGCATGTCTCAGGCCACCCACGCTATCCGTTATTTCGTCAGCAGATTGTTCAGTGCATTTAGTAAATAATGTGAATGGTAATGCGGTTGTGATTTTTGATGTTCAAGGCACCCCTGCTAGCTGCACCACTATACCTACCACTTTTATCGCCTGACTTTGGCCAGTCAGGGTATACAAGGTGTGAATAGTACAAGCACATATGCTTGTTTAGCATGCATGGGATGGCTTTCCCCACGAGATTCTGCTGTGTATTTCATTGCAATGTTCCACGTCTGAGGAATATTGAAACCAATTTACCTTCACTTTCGTATTTTTCTCCCTCCGCTCTTATCCCTTCTTGCTTCATATTGCTCTCCGTCTCATCTTCGCTCTTAGGTGATTTGCATATTTTGGTTCCAATTTGAATACGTACTCGAAGCTTTTTACTGTCGTTTTCCTTCCATTACAAGTAAAAGGTATGAGACAGATTGGGTATTGAATCCATTTTCATTAGGTCTTGTCATGGCCTTTGCGAGTTGAAATGCTTTAGACGAAATAACCCTTGCAGCCATCTCCTCTTACCAACTATGCACCAGTCAGTGTTTGTTGTCTTCATATAAGTGCGCTTTTGAGAAATAAGGAACCTACAGTTGACAACTTTGCCAATGGAAGGCTGCCCGTACGTCATTTACAGCTGTTGTTGTGTGACCCAGGAATGGAATGATGTGAATCTGAGGTGGAACGCCTCGGAGTACGGGGGCGTTCAGGACCTCCGGATACCACCGAAAAACATCTGGAAACCAGATGTTCTAATGTACAACAGGTACGTTCTATTGTGACCGAGGTGTGACATGCATTTTTAGAATTTTGGCAACTAATTTGAACATGCTCAATCCTCACATCCCACTGAACCTTCTTGGAACGATTTTTGGTGATATTCTGGACTGGGAACACTAAAGCTCTCTAAGTCAAGTTATAGGACTTAAATACTGTATGCGATTACTTCGAGCCAAGCCTAAGTAACGTTTTGGGTGACGCTTGAGATCATGTTTGCCAGTTTCATTTCTATGTTTCTTTGTCTTGTGTGGCTTTCAGTGCGGACGAGAAGTTCGACAGTACGTATCCCACCAATGTGGTATTAAAAAACAACGGGAGCTGTCTATATGTACCTCCTGGTATTTTCAAGTCGACATGCAAAATCGACATCACCTGGTTTCCGTTCGATGACCAGGAGTGTAAAATGAAATTCGGTTCGTGGACGTACGACGGTTGGCAGGTAAGTACTCGCCCCCTCTCCTATCAGTTGCTTTGGAGCAGGGCTTGGAGGATTAATTGCATCCCACTGCTCTTCATATTCTCAACGCCATTTTTGTCAGGAAATGATCCGAGATTAATTATACAGGTGTAGCATCAAATGATCTTGACTGAAGTTATTTTGAATGCTGATTTTATCATCTTGCCATTCGCCAATCAGTCACAAAGGGATGTCCAAGGCCGTAGCGAAAATTATTCGCATAGGTAACGCAAGGAAGCACATTTATTTGGGTGCAACAGCTTGTCACCATGCGTGAGATCCACCACTACCAAACATAACGCCCTGTGTGCGTGTCTGTGTGTCTTGTTTTGCGTCACCAGCTGGACCTGATCCTGCCGTCGGACGAGGGGGATGCCAGCAACTTCATCCCCAATGGGGAGTGGACCCTGCTCGGTGAGATCGCAGTCCATGCGGGGCGGGCGTCACCCCACCGCACACCGCCGCCTCGACATAGCAAACAGATGATGAAGCGCACACGAGTCACGACATACATGTAGTGATACACATATGTATTCGTACGACACCCATATGCACTCTAACCTGTCTCGCCTATCATGGCTATGATGTCTCGCCTACCACTATTTCAACATTCCACAGTTTATGTCTTTATGACACTTTCCGAGCAGCAGATGACAAAACATTGCCATTTTGTCCGTACCACGCTTAGCTCAAAAGCATCACGTCTTCCAACGAGCAAAGTAAAAGATATTTAATCCGATTATCTAGCACTCCTATCACTCGTAAATCAGAGTATACGTAAGGCACAAACACGCAGAGAAGCTCACAAGCACAGTCCATATGATCACTGATCAGGAATTCACCTGTTGCAGGTATCAACAGGTATGCTAACTAGCAACTTCCTAGCCTGGATATTGTTTAACGACGTTAGCATAAAGTGAAAAGTGTGCCTCCGTTAAACCTGCTGTGATAATTGCGTACTATCGGAACACTGAATGTTGTACGTGCACATGTTCTGCTAAGCTAGTGGAAGAAACCGTAACTTTCCTATTCGTTTTGTTTCAGTATTAACTAATATAGCTCTAAAAATGATCAATAATTGCATGTTCAATTAGAGCTCTGCAATAAATAACCGAGAATAACTAAGAGCCAGTGTTTGAACGTATGCTCTGTTTTGTTACCTCTCCTCTGTTTTAGGTGTACCTGGAAAGCGTAACGAAATCTCGTACGCCTGTTGTCCACAACCATATATTGATATAACGTACACAATACTGATCCGAAGACGGACGTTGTACTATTTCTCCAACCTAATAGTACCATGTGTGCTGATCGCCTCCATGGCCGTGCTGGGCTTCACTCTGCCGCCCGACAGCGGAGAAAAACTCAGCCTAGGTAAACAGGCGCCCGGCCGGCTGTCGGGCCTGGCCGGAGCGCGCCCCTCTCGAGTGTATGTCCCGGGTGAAGGAGGGTGCCAGGGAACTCATCAGCCTCAGACATGATCAGAGCTTCTCCGAGGGCTAAGGCTCGTCTCAAACGGATACCATTTGACAGTGATCCTGGTTCGGCGACAGGATCAAGTTGAAAGCCCAGTGGCGGCTTGCGTAAATCGGAACAGCCGCAGCTGAAACTGCGGATGGATGGCTGATTATCAAAAGTCCTCCTTGGCACCCTCCTCGCCTGCAGTGCTAGTCCGAACCGTTCGCGCGACTGAAGTATCGCTCGCATGCTCACATGTGTGACGTTTTGCAGGTATTCCGGGGAAGCGCAATGAGCTATCGTACGCCTGTTGCCCTCAACCCTACATCGACATCACGTACTCAGTCAGAATCCGTCGGCGAACGCTCTACTACCTTCACAACCTGGTCCTTCCCGGTATCCTGATATCCACCATGGTTCTACTGGCCTTCACTCTGCCGCCTGACTCGGGCGAGAAGCTGACTCTAGGTAGGACGGGCTCGCCGACATAGCTGCCCTTCAGGCAGCCACCAGGCCCTTCAGGCAGCCACTATGGCTCCCAGATGGCACTTGGGTCCTTCAGGCCGCCACTCTGGCTCATGAGGCCTCTGTTTTGGTCCATTAGGCACCAGTTATTGTGAGCAGCCTACTGGCATATTCAGGAACTAGTATTTACTTGCAGCTTTGTGATTACTCAGTTTAGTGATAATAGTCCACGCTCTCGTGGTTGTTATAATCATGAGAAGTGGTGCGTTCTCATGAGTGCACCACTTTGCAACTCTGACAAAGTGCTGATGTAACGTAATCAATGCTAGGGATGTTTGGTACGTGTGAAACCCAGTTCAAACAAGAGCACAGAAGAGGCTTTGGTGATGTTTGGTTTGTCTCTATCTGCCTCTGTCGCCGTGATACCTCCACCGCCGGTGGGCAGCGCTCGGCGGCCCCAGGCCGCGCGAGTCGCCCGCTCTCTCTGTCTGTCGAGCTCTCTGTGTCACTCCCGGGGACTGGTCCATCCCGCCTCCATCCGTCCCAGCTCTCCAGGCCGCGCGAGGTAACCTCCGCCAGAGCATGCTTTTCTCGTTTATCCCACCACTACACCTGAAATGGCGCAGGCGCGCTCGCGTTTATGTGTGTGTTTGTACGCGCGTGTCCGAGCGTCCGAGTGTTGTTGCGCGCGTGTCGCCTGCTGGCCACCGCTCAGCGGCCGCTGGCGTGCTGCGCAGACGTTGTGTGGTTAACACCGGCACCTGTTGCAGGCCACGAGCGCTGGCCGGTCCGGCCTGCCCCGAGGGACCTGCCCTGGCCGCGGGCCGCACGCCCCCCCCCCCCCCCATCCGCCGCCGAGCCCGCATGGCCACCGACCCTGTCCTCCGCTGATCGGTGTCGTCTCCTCTTGCACCGCCTGTCTCCCAATCTGAGTTAGGCTTCGTTTACTCGCTCACAATTATTTCTTTTCGTTTACCATTAACCGCTTCAGTGGGGCCTCTGCGGCATTAGACACAGAGCCGCGGAGGCCGGTAGCCTCTCCGCGTCGCTTGCCGCAGCGCTCTGTCGCTCTTCTCTGCGCGCTCTTTCTTGCCCTATCTATCTCAATCTCTTCTCGTTCTGTCTGTCTGTCTGTCTGGCTGGCTGGAGGCAGGTGCTCTGTTTGATCTGGGAGCTCTGCGCCGCAGCCTGATGACCGCGTCTTCTCTCCCGCCAGGCGTCACAGTGCTCCTCTCTCTGACAGTGTTTCTGAACCAAGTCGCTGCAAATATGCCAGAGACCTCAGAGGCTGTGCCCCTACTAGGTAACACAGAGCACGGCGACCCGCCGGCCGACCCGCCGGCTGGCCGGCGACGCCGCTAGAGTCTCTGCTCGACTCGATGTGCCTAACTTGCGTCGGATAAATCAATAAAAGCTGATCTCGAACCCCACCAATGTCATCTAAATCAAACCACCTAAATTTTGTGCTTGATAGCTGTTCGCTTTCAGCACTGCAGACGATGTTGCACGGTCTTTCTCGGTGTCCCTGCTGGCCCCGGCGCCGCCCTGGCTTGTCCCCGCCGCCCGCGCCGCGCGCGCTCGCGCCGCCGCCGTCTCTCGCTGCTCGTCTCTCTGTCTCACCCGCCGCGCTCTGTCTCTCTCTTTCAGACTGGTGTCCGGCGTCGGCGCTGGTGTGGCCCGTTCGTCCCCCGTGCCCGTGCCCGCTCCGGCTCCCACTCACTGCTCCCATTCCTGTTTTAGGTGTTACCATTTTGCTATCGCTCACTGTCTTTCTAAATATGGTGGCAGAGAGTATGCCCACTACATCCGACGCAGTCCCACTGATAGGTAAAAACCTTTGCGTGCCCACTATCTAATAATACTGTGGCACATCAGAGGTGACATCACAAAAGCCCGATCTCAAAATTACCCGGCGAGAGGAGGTATGACGCACAGAGCGCCCCAATGAGCTCGGTGACGGTCACATCATGTCTGTCTGTGATTTCAGGCGTCACCATTCTTCTTTCCCTGACCGTGTTCCACAATCTAGTCGCGGAGACACTTCCGCAAGTGTCAGATGCAATGCCTGTATTAGGTAGAGAGCCAGGGGTGGATGAAGCCGCGACCGGCGCCGCCTCCGCCGCCCCGCGTATACCGCCGGCCCTCCCGCCCCGCACGGTCGTCGCTCTGTCTCTCTCCATCTTTCTTTGTTTGTGTGTCGGTGTGCGCCCTGCCCTCCGCTGTTGAGCGGCTGGTGTGCCGGTTCTCTGGCCATTCTGTCCGTGTTCACTGTGCCCCGCCCCGGTGTGCCCTCCGTCCCGTTGTGTTCTACAGTCGCCACCCCAACTCGGCTGCATTTGTCCGGGCTGGCATGTGTGTTCGATGTGCCTCCATCACGCTCCGTCAGAACGTGTCGCGCTCCTCCCAGCCCTCTCTCTCCATCAACTCTGTGATATTCTCATTACGTTTCACACTCTCTCTCCCTCCAAGCGCTGTGATCTCTACATCATAGGCCAGCACTCAACAGGAGGCTACTCCGCATGATGAGCGAAGGATGACGTATGTTTCGACACCAAGTCGCCCTGTAGCATGGCAGTTGACCATTACATACATCGATAAATACATAACGCTCTCACATCGTCACTTACCTGTTCCTCGTCAGATGAACGCTCTGAGAAAATCTGATAGTACGATTTTGATGGTTTACCGCGGGAGTTGATGAAAAGATCAGGATCGCTATAGTTGTCCAGATTGCAAGACTGCAGTGTACGAAAAATACGATTCAGACCAAGCGAGGACCGCAAAGGCAATGAGTTGGCGGGAATTCAATCGATAGAACTCTCTCCATTTGTCAATAAGCTTCTTTTTGTAGCTTGACGTGACATTACGGGCTTTGAGTTTAACCTATTTGAAAAATCGGAAATTTATCTTTTCTGGCAACAACCAGCTATGAATACCCGTAAATGTCTCACAAAACATGACAGTGATTGCATGCAAAGCGCGATCTATTTCCCTTGGCATAAAACCGGCAGCTAAGGTGAGTTTTATCACGGGCTGCCCATAACTTATACTATACGACCTTTTATGGCGCAATAACGTTGCAATCAGGACGTTTTGACTCGCCAGTAAATTGTGTCAGATGCAACTAATAGGGTTTCCAGAAAACACAAAAAGTCGTAGGGATCGTGTGACGATGAGGAGGTGAGGCGAAAAGTAAAGGGAAAGGCAGACACAAAAATTTCACTTGTCTGGCGGTACTTCAGTTTGAGTCTGCTGAGCCTCCCTGTCATTTCTTACTTGCGCTCTGTTGATCAGTTGCCGAATTTTTACCTTATTTTGGGAATACACACCGCCTCTTCACATATGGTCGTTAATTACTGTTTCAAGTGATATTCATCAATCATCTGAAAAACAACATCCTTGTCGCTAGGGTTTTGTTTTGCGAGCGCGATCAGACAGCAGGTGCAGAAAAGGATAGTGCTACCTTTCTGTGAGCGCGCGCTGCCCGCACGATCCGGGCAGACGGTGCAGCCGCGTCTGCCGACTGAGCTTTGCCAGCTCTGTGCGAGCTGCGGCGAGCTGCCGGCCGAGCGAGCTCTATTGACCGGCGCCGCTGCTACGAGCCGCGACCGGCCGTGCGCCACTGCCGACAGAGAGCTGTAGGTATTGGCGGCGCGGCGTGCCTTTATCCGGCCGTAATTTACACGGATATACTGCCGGCAACTATGACTTATGTCGTAATGTCACCGAACCATCACTGGCTTCTCGGTGCTATAAATTCCCCGTGGGACAGCGCAGATGAGAAACTGACTCAGAGTGGAAATGGCTGGACCTATACCCGACCGAGCCATATGGGAGAGAGGAAATTAGCAGACGAAATTCTGCGTACCTACCGTTCAGATTAGCACATCGACATTCGTAATTTGTAAGTTTATATTGCTTGACAAGAGTATGGTGCAAAGAGCGAATAGATCCGTTCACATAAACCAGTATAGCGCCTTATGGGGCGACTAACGGAGCGAGCGAGAGGGTGGGCCTTGCACGTGCGAAATTGCGAGGGGGTACCTCCAACTGACTTGTGCACGGCACCCTACTAACCGGTCTCTAGCGATGTGCCGAATTTGAGCACAATCGGCCCAGCCGTTCTCGAGATCTGGAAGCGGCACCCTGCACGTGCGCACGTGCAAAATGGGTCCCAACTGACTTGTGCACTGCACCCTACTAACTGCTCCGTAACCGTGTACCAAATTTGAGCGCAATCGGTCCAGCCGTTCTCGAGATCTGGAATCGACCCCTGCACGTGCGCACGTGCAGCAGCACCCCAACTCTGGCACATGGATATGCATTGCCTAGTGGGTGCCTACCTACATGCCAACTTTCAGCGCAATCGGCCAAGTAGTTACCGAGATATTGCAACAATTACAAAAGTGACACCTCTTCGTTTTGCACGTGGCACGTGCATAAGGGGTTACCTACATGCATCGGGAATAGTCCAATACTTGGTAGAAGGAATGAAGCTACCCTAAAAAAATTACCGCGTGTAAATCGGTCAAGTGGTTGCTGAGATATAAGCGTCGCAAAACCGTGACCACGGCCGGCCGGCCGGCCGGCCGGCCGCTCATTCTCAGAAATTTCCGTTAATCTAAGGAAAGACTACGCTCGCTTCGCTCGCTCCGTAATAAGTGTTTAACTATTTTATCTTGTAGACAAAGAAGTCTTGCTTTCCCGGGCGTGCAATCCATTCTGGCGTAACTGGATCTGACAGTTGCCTTATTCAAATACCAAGAGAGCAACATTATCAGCACGTAGACAGCCTGCAATGCGAAGATCATTACACTGCAGCTTATTTCTACTGATGTCTCAGGCTCATTTGATAACCGTGACTTCGAGCACTGCCACCGGTCTGTGTCAGCGTCAGCGCCGCTGCACTGCACGCTGCAGCGGCGCCTCTCTGTGTCTGTGTGTCTGTCTGCGGCCGACGCCCCCCCCTCCCCCCTCTGTGTCGGTGTGACCCCGCTCCGCAGTGTGACCGTGGCGCGCGTGTTATAACGGGCAATGTATCTGATACGTGACACTAAACCAGCCAGGCACAAGGGCGCCATCCAATCAGGTCCGCTTTCAAAATATTTAATTTGTTTTTAATTTCAAAGCACTATTTCTTCTTGCTTCGTGATCAATTGGCTTTCTATAACAAACATTTTCGGTTCAATTCCCACCTCCCTTGCAAACTTCAGCCTATTGATAGCTGTTTCTGGCTATCTTTACACATACCTATTGCCAAAATAGGTATGTGCAATACCTCTGAGTCAGCACAGAGATGTGTCTAAATTTGGTAACTGGCGCACTTGTGACCTGCCTAAACAGAACGCGGTAATAGCCAATCATGCCTCCCTCGCCGGCTTTGACGGAATTCATTGAAAGGATGCTGTTGCCGTCCAATCCCCTGCGGAATTTCTCACTGAGATCCGTGATGTCCCATCTGATGCGCCATAAAGCATTCGCATCTATCCATGGAGCTTGCATAGATTACACGTCACTTTGTTTGCAGATGGAAATATGCTTTGCATAACTCACATAAATATGTTAAAGATGTAACTAAAATATGCATGCATTAAACCGGACAATTAACCACAGGGATGCTTAAGGCACTCCGTTAAACTGATAAACGATCCGACTAAAACACTTTTAAAATGACAAGCCTATTGCTATTGCATGGCTCCTGTCATTCACCGTGTTTGAAGCATGCATATTTGACCGTGTCGCTTTTCCAAGTGAAAACTTGTTTCACATAAGTGTAATGTCGCTAAATGTGTTATCAGTGTTCAATATGTGTGTGTATGACTTTTGTTTTGGTAAAGTAAGGGTAGTTTTTAAGCATTGAGCAATTCGAGGCAGAGGCAACATTGCAGCCTACTAATAATTAATTTTTGTTTAAGTAAACTGTGTATCTTTTTAACTTGTTAGGCACTAACCAATTAGCTATGCTTATTTGAACATTCATTCAGTTTCCAAGCACTGAATCAATAAGTAAGATTTTGCTGACAGTATCTTCATGTAAACAAAGTTCTCCCAAGTTTTGATGTAAAATGAAAAAAAAACGTTTCAATTTCAATATTTCAATATTTATTCAGTGAAGAAGCAACTGAACGTCGCAGACTCACAGTTAATCTACAACTGATCACTAAATTAGAATAATCAACTGTAGATTACGGATGATATGGTGAATTATACAGCTTGCAACAGACTCGTGTATTGCTATGTATAGACAGGTCGGTAACAACGGGTCCAGCCCAGCAGTATAGGACCAAATCAGGTCCGCTGTTATCTATGTGCATACGATTAAGCCTAAACTAAGCCACTGAAGCTTGTTTGACTATGCTCCCGGACCTGGAACTGAGCCCAGTTAAATGTAACCGGCGCACGAGCTGTTTGCAAAGCTTACATCCATTACGTTTTCGTCTGAATCAATAATCACCTGTGTTGACAAGGGCCGTGTGCCGTTAGTGGCCGTCAGTCGTCGGCGCGGCTCGGGCTCGGTCCCTGTTCAGACCGCTGCCGTCCAGCGGGGCGCAGGTCTATTTCTGACCGCAGCCGCCGCGAGCGCCGCCGCCGCCCAGTCTGACGCCCTCCGTACCACCAGGGACCTACTTTAACTGTATCATGTTCATGGTGGCGTCATCGGTGGTGAGCACGGTGCTCATCCTCAACTACCACCACCGCTCCGGTGAAACGCACGAGATGGCGCCCTGGGTGAGCACACTGCTCCTGAGGGAGCACACTGCCCTTCCCCCATCCTCAACTACCACCACCGCTCCGGCGAAACGCACGAGATGGCGCCCTGCCCCTGAGGGAGCACACTGCCCTTGAGGGAGCACACTGCCCTTCCCCATCCTCAACTACCACCACCGTTCCGGCGAGACGCACGAGATGGCACCCTGGGTGAGCAGTGAGCACACAGTCCCTTTCCTCCCCCTGGATGCCCAAACAGTCCCTAAGTGAGAAGCACACTGTCTATCCTTCTCGTCTTTTATAAGTGTCACGACTCGACTCAGCCTGTTACTTGAGACTTGTGTCGTTATATGTACAGTCCTTAGCCGTCGATGGATGACCATTGACAGACGTCAATACATCGTACGCGTTTATTTTAGCATATTTCGACACACGTTATAGTTTCATCTCCGCATACGACGCACGATCGAATCCGGAGGCGCTCTTCCTGCCTTGTTCCTCCAGCACGGTTCAAACTAGTGGCACTCTCACAAACAAACCTCTTGCCTCACCCACCACCTCCTATGGCACCTTTCTAACCGTGCTTGTGTGTCAGCTCTGAGGTCTGATGGCGCCCGTTCCGAGAGTGCTGCTTTGTCCGCTCTCAGACCTAGTGGCGCCCTCTCTGCGTGCTTCTTCAGCAGCTCCCAGATCCAGTGACGCCCTCTGTAGCCGTGACCCTGAGCCACTTCCCGTAGCGGCGCTCCTCTCATACCCATTTCTATTCCGCCAGGTTCGGAGCGTCTTTCTGCAATGGATGCCGTGGCTGTTACGCATGTCACGGCCCGGCGAGAAAATCACACGCAAAAACATCATCATGAACAACAAGATGAAGGAGCTGGAGCTGAAGGAGCGCTCGTCCAAGTCGCTGCTGGCCAACGTGCTGGACATGGACGACGACTACCGGGGCGGCCTGGCGCCGGGGCCGCTCACACTGGCCGCCAACAGCGCCAACTACACGCGCCTACCGCCGGGCCAGTCGGTGGACGACCTGGCGGCGCCCGGCTGCCTGGCCGGCTGCGCGCGCGAGCTGCAGCTGATCCTGCGCGAGCTGCGCACCGTCACCGACCGGCTGCGCCAGGACGACGAGGAGGCCGTGGTGACCAGCGACTGGAAGTTCGCCGCCATGGTGGTCGACCGCCTGTGTCTCATAGTGTTCACGCTGTTCACTGTGGTGGCCACGGTGGCCGTGCTGCTCTCGGCGCCGCACATCATCGTGCCGTGACGTGCCGCGCTCGGACTGGGGCCGCCGGCGCGAGCCGGGACGTGCCAGCCGGCGGCCCGGCGCGCCGTCTGCTCACCGGCCGCCGCGTCGGACTTCGACACGGCGGCGCTCGCACCGTCTCGTTACCCTGTAGCTCCAGAGGCCCGTTCTCATCCCACTTTCCACCCTACCCGCTCACGTTGGCCAACTCAGTATTTTTTAGCATTACGGGTAGTCTGTGCGAGTGACACTCTTCCTTCATACCTGAGCCGGCGAAGGCCAGGTGCCAAATACCGACGTAGGTCAGCCCGGCCCCTACTGGAGCGCCGGCCAGAGTATGCAATCGTTATCCTTCGTCCTGACGAGAGTGCTCTGTGATTCGCGATAGTATTAAAGGCTGAGTCCGTATTCCCCTCAGAGGCGTGCTCTGCCTCGCTGGAATCCTTGCCTTCTGTGATGTTTTATTTCCAGTCATATCGATTCAGACAATGGCGCAGAGTGGTTCACGTTTTAGGTGTGTGACCGAGGCGCGCATGTGCGAAAGAGAGAGTGAGAGAGATGCCTGACAGAGCCCAGTTTTGATATTGGTCGTGGTTGATCATGATTCTCGTCAGTGACATACTTGTCAAGGGATTTATACAGAGCCGTGTCGCTTTCATGCTAAGAGTAGAGTTGGGCTCATTTCAGCGAAAGTTCTTCCGAGTATATCAGCATTGTTCTTAGACTTTGAATGTCCATGGTTTTATGAATAACGAGGGTTTCTCTTAATGTTGCGCAAGAAAAGATGCCGAAATTGGACAGCAGTTTATGTCGGAGGCTGGATGGAGACGGAACAGCTACGTCGATATCCTGACTGGTATAACAGCAAAGTGTTGAAGTCCCCGACACTTCCCCAATCAATCCCTACAGAACTTACATAGACACCTTTACCATTAACGGTAAAACATCTTCCGTAGCGCGTCCTTTAAAAATGCAGAACACGTCGTCACAGCACCTTACACGAATCATTTTCTATCATTTATTGCTAAGCAGAACAAAGAATAAACAAAAACAGCTAACTCAACCACCGCAACAATATCAGATCAACGATAAACACAGCATTCACATGTTTACGGTGCATGTATAGTCGGTCCGAGCGGCAACAGAGGCTGAAGCAGCGGGCGGCGGTGCGGCCGCCGACTGCCGACAGGACAGTCGACACGGGGCGACAGACCGACGCCCGGTTCAGGCGAGTGTTCAGGTGTGGTACTTGAGCAACGTGCGCTTGGAGGCCGGACCCGTCCACGAGGCTAACCGCTACACGCATCTGCTCACTAGGGTAGGTGGTCAGCGCGCAGGCTGACCGCAGAGAACCAGACCTGAGTCTGAACGACAACATTTGGCACCAACCGGTAACAACAGTTTACACGCAGGCTAGCCCTCTGTTGTGACATCACTGCAGCTAAAACGCTGCGGGATGGACATGGCTTTACAATGACAAACTGGCTCGATTCCGCTCAGAATGACCAAACTACTTGGAATTGATCATGGAACAGCATTTCTCTGTTTAACCACAGCACAATAAAGGTGATGAAAATCTTCGATGCCGAAAACAATAAACAAGTTAGGCCCATTGCATTGCTTCTGAACTCCTCGTAAACACGTGATTCTCTTTGAATTTGCATCTTGTGAAGAATGAAATGTCACAAAGCACACTATACTGTGATAGCCTATGCTATTGATATTGACAGATAGGCTGGTAACTAGCCAGTAGTTGCATGAGATAGTGTTTTGTCTCAACCCGTGCCCGTCAAGGCTGATGAATTTCCACCCACTTTGGGTGCGGTTGTCAACGTTCCTAATTTCTCTCGCTCTCAACTCATAGACGATCTACGAAAAAGCCGCCTCCGGTAAGGACAAAATCCAAACAATTAAAATACCACCAAAGTTTTGTAACGTAATAAGTCGAAAAAGCAACTGACTTACTTATGGCAAACCTATGCCAAATTTCGTAATTTGCGATTTAATATTTAAAACGGCATTTTATTAGACACTGATGTAGACCCTATACCTAGCCTAAAAGAGCTAAATACCGAAAATAAGTTGAAATTGCTTATGCACTTTTCCGTTAGCTCTAATTCCATCAGATATGGAGATTTGGAGATTTCTGTCAAATACCTATTTAGATCGATGTTGAAAGAAGATCGGAGATCGTTAGAGACAGAATTAAAGCAAAACGTTTTTCGACAAGTTGCTATAGGTTGCCTTGGCACATTTTTGGACCAAATAACGGGGCGAAGCAATTGGAACTAGCAAGAAAATTGTCAACACTGAGAATTCTACTTTTGAGTTTTTATCATCGGCCATGCGTGTCAAGATGATCACAAGAGCTAAACATTCGAACAAATCCTTCAAGCGGCGAAACACCTTAACGCACATTTTACAAAGGAATGTGTACAATCATAAAATTTTGAAAGGGGCAACTGAGCTAATTGAAACTCATTGTTTGAAATAAAACTAAATATCTTTTAATGCTTAGGTTGCTTACGTCAAAACTCAATTTAGAACTAAGAGTGACGTTTTCATCTAAATAACAATGCGTGACGTTCGTTTTACTCGCAACAGGCGCACATGGCATTAGCTTTTCCATGCCAACGCATCCAATTTAGAACTTTAAACGGATAAACCTTGGATAAGCCCCGTTTTTAAAAAGACACAGCTTTTCACAAACGTTACCAAACAAAAGCTCCACCCTTTCCGTTCAGACGGACGCTTTACCAGCTGCGCCCGCACAGATAGGGAGCAGTTCGACAGAGCTGTAGGAACAGGAGGATGGGACTCATCTCGGTACAAACATCATATCAGCCGCTCCACGACACGCAGAGACGCGGTGATCGCATGCGCGCACTTCACACCACTGACCGCCGTTAGCCAGCGCGAGCAGCGCCAGCACGGAGTGAACAGCCACTCGACTGCGCTACGTCCGCCGTCAGTGGCTGCTTGAACGGACACAGACACAGACGTCGTCGTGCGCTCCGCTGCTCCTAGCCTCTACGACCCACGGGGCGCATCCCGCCGGCACCCAACGCCCGCCCGCAAAACAATGCGATACAAAACGGAGTGACAGGGCACGGCACGGAACGCCACAGCAGCACGGTACGGCACGGAACAGCACGTGTCCGTGACGTTTGCTGGCTGCCGTGCCACGGCGCTCACCGTCCGTGCATCAGCATCATTGAGCAGTTCCTCCTAATAGCTCTACAACCGTCTAATTCCGACATAGACTCAGGTAACCCAGGCGCCACAAGTGCCATATGAGAACCATGCTGCATGAGACTGGCAGGGTTTACTGTTAAAGAATTTGTGTGCTGCTCGATTGGTATAACTGTATGAGTGCCTTTACAGTGAACTTAAGGCGGTCATTGATCAATGCCCGAAGAGCACACAATTTTCCGATAAACGTAGCCGTTTCTTAGCAAAACGGCAAGAAAACAAGTGGGCTTACTTACATAGATTCGGTATTAAATGCTCTCACGTAACAACAGACGGGGAACCTCTCATGCATACGCCACGACTCATCACCATCCCAGTTGTAAGCACAGTTCGGGCTTCATGGGATCATCCAGCTCTGTCTTTTGTCTAGCCCGCTTCCCATCCGATGCTGCACTCTGAACCACGGAGTTTTGACACAGTCAGATTCCAGCACCAGCCATTGGACGTCCTATGTCCGTTTTGCCATAGGGCAGCGGACACCAGCCCCTGTGCGTCCCTGTCCCGTCTTGCCGCAGGACAGCCGAGTTTGCGCCCCCGTCTCCGGGGTAGGCCCCTCTCGACACTATCGACCTCTGCTAGTGCGGCGCCGCCGGCCGCGTCCCCTGCCGGCAGTGACGGGACCGGCCTCGGTCGGCAGGCCCTACCGGCCCTGGTACGTCTTTATGATGGTTTCCTGGTCGACGTACTCGAAGATGTACGGCGCGTCCATGAGGATGCCAATCGTGCCGGCCGTGGTCACCACGAAGAAGAGATACAACTGTAACCGGTCGATCACCATGGCCACGTACTTCCAATCTTCGCGGATCTGAAACAGGGAGACATCGTGATAGTTCGTAAGCCAGCCTTATCCATAACGTCAATCGGTCATCCAACGCTACCTACTTTTGTATTCAGCTCTAAGCTTCCGATAAATAGCAGCCGCCAAGGTACGACTAAGAATAATGAAGTCAATGAATATCGTCGGCAAAAGCTCCACCCTGACACTGAAATGAAAATGAAGCCAAATCGATTCGGTGGCTTTTCTCGAGCGCTCGTCATTATGCATAGTCCGACCGCCCATAATAGACGACCCACAGCCATGCTGCGAATTGATCATCGAGCCAATCCAGTTGTCAAGGCCTCCAGTCACACTGCATTCAAAATGAGTTATCGACAGCAGAAATGGACCCTTTGAACCTTGTTGCATGTTTAGTTTTCAGCTCGGATCCTGGTCCCTACAGCTAATCGATGCCCATGCGACATGACTATCAATATTGTAAACCGGAGTGGACCCGTGGGTGCCTCTCTTTCTTCTCTCTCCAGCCTTGCCTTTCCAGACATCTCCTTCTCTCTGTCCCTCTCCCTCTCCCTCTCCCTCTCCCTCTCCTTCTGCGTCTCCCTCTCCCTCTCCCTCACCCTCTTCCTCCATTCTACCCCTTCTCACCTGTATATACTCGTTCTCATTTCTGAGGTGCTCGGCTATGAACTCGACGGCCTCGGTGGCCTTGTAAGCCTCGGCGGTGAGCAGCACCGAGTCGGAGGCGTCACTCTCGGCGCGGTGCAGCTGCGCCGTCGGCGTCGGCGCCGGCTCGTGGCTGGCCGCGCAGTTGGGGTGGTGCAGGTCCGACAGCTCCATCGAGTCCATCTTGGGCGGCACGAACTCGGTGGAGAGACAGGGGCCGGCGAACGAGGGCGCCGGTCCGCCGCCGGGCCGACCGCTCACCCCGCTCGGACCCTCCATCATCCAGCGCAGGCGCGTCTTCTTGGGCCGCTTCATGAACAGGAAGATGGGCATGTAGCGGAGGAAGACAACGCGCACCCAGTTGGGCATGTGGTGGGTGCGCGGCCCGCGGAAGTTCCAGTTGATGATGACCACCGTCACCAGGATGGACACCGTGTTCATGACGAAGGTGAAGAGCAGGTACTTGGCGATCAGTGGCAGCACCAGCGACGTGGGCGGCAGGATCTTGGAGACGAGCAGCAGGAACACCACCAGCGACAGCAGGATGCTGATTCCGAGCGTCACCTTCTCGCCGGCCTCTGCAGGTAGATAGAACACCAGCACGCACAGGAACGAGATGAGCACCGTCGGCAGGATCAAGTTCACCGTGTAGAACAGCGTCTTGCGCCGGATCGTGATCCAGAAGGTGATGTCCGTCTCCTTGGGCGACGTCTGGTTCTCGTAGTTGAGGTAGGCGGGCACCTCGACGATGTCCCAGGTGCCCGACTTCCAGTAGTCGGAGAGGTCGACGAACTCTTTGCGGTCGTAGAGCTCCAGAGACACCTGGTCGCCGTTGAAAGTCCAGCTGCCGAACTTCATCACACACGTCTGCTGGTCGAACGGGAAGTACGTGACGTCGATCGTGCACGAGCTCTGAAAACGAACGGGCCGGGCGTTAGTCGCCAGCTTCCCAGAAGGACACCAAGGTGTGACCTCGGGTGTAAATTTTACAAACATTCGGCGCGTGTCGGTCGCTGAGTAGCTCGGTCCAGGAAACAGCTGCCTCCCGTAGCTTTCCCGATGCATGGGTGGGTCTCACCGGTCTCACAATGTCGGGGGATTGGGGTGTTGGGACTTGAGACGTGCTCCCCACTTATATAATTCATATTTGTTGCCTTGTTACGTGGTTATTAACTGTCGCGATCGTCTTATAATAAGACGTACTAATTTTGAGAGATTGAGAACAATACATGCTTTCCGGTAAAAAAAAAAACTGAATAACATGAAAAGCCATTTCCTTATTTTTATAGGAGCTGCAACAACTGCGGAAATGATGTACATTTTCACTGCATTCTTATCTCACGCTGGACGATTTTTGAACATTCAGAATGGTGTGGATATAACTTCCCTGGAACATTCCGTGACACGATCGTTTGTGCTTTAGTTAGGCACACTGCGATATTTTTAGAGCTTCCTTAGAAACTTGATGCCAGGCTATTTAATATATTAAGGCCTAGTTTTATTATAAATGAGCACAATGATGGTTAGCCTGTTCGAGTCTTATTCTATATAGTTGCATTAGAGGTGATCTTATATATGTTGAGCGTTAGTAAGAAACTAAATCCTATCAGCGCGGTGAGATCATTTATGCTGCTGTTGCAGTCAGTATAAGAAAAAAGAAAGCGGCTTATCGCAGCTTTTTTAGTACACTTTTCAGGAAGGAACACAGCTCCCACGGCATGTTCACAATTAGCCAGGCTCACAGTCATTGTGTCAACTGTTTTCCTAGCTGCTACTCAATGAGACTGCGCCGCAGTCGCTGTTGCCTTCCACTACTCCGCTGGCATGGCGCGCCTACTCGTTTTTCCTTTGGCATCCTATAAAGCTGAGAACGGCGTCTGGGCAACGTCGATAAAGCGCGGCTTAAGAGAATTACTGTTACGGAGCAGCAGCTGGCCGTGAGCCGGCTTAATTTTCGACCATCAATAAATTGGTAACACTGTCTGGCTTTCATCAGAGATTTATTGACAGCAATACCATTCGGAATAATTTTATCTGGCCCGAGCTCTCAGCCTTCTGCTATTGACAGCGATATTTTCCGGCTTTGTTCCAGCTTTATCGGCTCGGAGAAGGGTCAGGCGATTCTGCGGGCTCCGAATGGGCTGAGTCGGGGCCAGGCTGCGGCTGAATCCATCGATGCCTGGTACTGTCCCTCAAAGAGGACTACTGCGTCCTAGTCTCTGACCATTGAAGACTGAGTAATGCTGCTCTCTGAGCGCACCAATCTTCTGTAGCAGTGCAATTTGCTTCGCCCTTTTCTAGTTCAAAGAAAAAGACGTCAGCTTAGAAAAGATTTGGACTTGCACAGACCTCATGCGTTGTATAGCTGTAAGCTACATGTTACTTTCTAAGTTTAAACAGCAAAGAAGCTCGGAGCAATTGATTTAAGCTGTTGTGCTTTACTATATCAAGATTGTTTTAGGAGAACGAAATATACCACGCGGTTGCTCTGAACGCATGTTCCGATAGCAGCACCCGAACAGGTCTGCCACAGGTCACATGCTCGTACTGCAGCCTGCAGCATATCGACCGGAGGAGCGCGGGGAACATTCTGTTTTCCAGGCAGCTCGACCTTTTGAAAATGAATACGGCGCGGCAGCTATGGGTGACCATGACCTTAAGAATTGAAGTTCAAGAACACTTTACCTTTTCATTTGCATGCCTACCTATATGTAAGTCTCTTTCCTGAACAACATTATGCAGACCTAACTACTACCAAATATTAGCCTATTAGAATACCAATTAAGCTAGGTAGGATCTCACTGGTAGTGTTCGTCATCAAATGAAGTGAGAATAATTGCTAGTCTTGAAACAATCGATATATGGGCGTCGTCATATTGATGCTTGAGAATTCAGTTTTATGTTGGAACGCACTGGCACCACAATAGCTGCAGGCAAAATAACCGCTACTCGCCGTTTATCCTCAGCAAATTTAGTGCAAATAATCTGCTTACCTGCGGGCCAGTCTGACGTCACATTGATCACAGTGGGACAGATTGGCCCCGGCGTCGCCCGCTCCGATCAGCGTGGGAACGCAGTGCCGGCGAGCAGGGCCGGCGCGCCCCGCCCATCGCTCATCGTATAAAGGCAGGAGCGTGTGATTAATTACGGCTGCCACCGGGCCAGAGCACGCCTTTGTCTCACACCACCCATCTGTTATGATAACTCAGTGAGCGCAGAACGAGGATGAACAAGCACCATTCATAATGGCTGCATATGCCTGTGATTTGCCGCGCCGAACAACGCGGTTGGTGTGGCAAGTCAGTCTCAAAGTTAGAATGAATTCGACAAGCGAAATCGTTATGATAAAATAAGCCTGGTTATTTGCAAAAAATTGTGCTGAGACATGTCCACTGTCCAAGGGCTAGGGATATATGTATAAAATGACTATTAGCTATTACATGCATTCGATGAGCTTATACAGTTGTAGTTGGCTCTACGTCTATCTGGGATACGGCGTTCGACCGGTTAGGTTATCAACGTTTTTGCTAATTGACGAACTAAATGAAACTAAGTTCTCACAGCTAGAAAAATTTTCAGTAAAAGGAGAAACCAACGTGTTTCATTTTGAAACGTCTCACATTTCAGAGAAGTGCAAATCACTCGTCACCTAAATCGGGTGCTATTGAAGTCTTTCTTGGAGTGATCAAAGAATTCCGTGTTCACAAATGGGTCGAGTTCTGTGAATTATGCATACATAAATCCAAGAAATTCGCTACGACGCATGGTGATATAAATAATAAAGTCGCCAATGCTGCACAGGAATCCTATACAATAGATGTGGCATGTAAGATTGATAGGGGAAATTAATCATGCAGCAGTAAAAGTAGAGGCAATAAAACACATGGGGATACTGCGGCAGACACTGGAAAAATTCTAAAGCGGACACAGTCTAACTAATCGCTTATCACACCAAAGCGTTCAAATAATGTGACATGACTCGTATTGGCCATGTTATGACACCATCAGCCATGGTTCATGGCACTGATTGCTGGATAGGGAGCCACTGGCGCCGGCCGTATCGATTTTATGCTTACGAATGTCGGCAGTCATGCCACCCGAGCTCTGCGGCCACTGTTATTGTCAGCTGGATTTGCCACTCGGCTGACCAGATGGCCTGTCGCGCAGTGAACACAAGTTGCCGTTGTCTGAAAAGGAGCAAAGTATATCGCCTCTTCGACACGTTAGCGTGTTGTCCCAGTCCGGCTGAAATAGGTATCGCTCATCGTAGCCAGGCAGTCGAATTAAGAACTGATTATGATTTTGTGCTAAGAGTCTCACTACCTTATGAGTATGGCGAATAGCACTGATCGATGTTAGCCAACTAATTTATCCAGCGGACGATGGTCCTCGGTAGCAATCGACCGAACGCCTGAGCGCAGTTATCGCCAGTGATCGGACTCGGACAATTCTGCCCGAGTCTCATCTTGGCATACGCACAGGACAGCGCCGCCCCACTTGGCTGTCACTTCTGACCAGCCATCCACATCCCTATTCATCAATGCGTCGCTTACGTTCATACGGGGCCATAAATGACTATATATAGAGCAAAGTAATGCTCCCAGATATGCCACAATCATGTTATTTATGACAATATCCTTCGCAATGGCGTCAGTTTTTTCTACTTTCAAAGTACTTTTCTGCAGCTATTTCTCCATTAGAAGGAAATAGAATTACTGATATGGTCCTTGTGTTATTACTGGTGTGCGGTCGGAATTGAATCTCCATAATCGCCATGAGCCCCACTTTATGGGCAATTCCCCGCTCCTGGATAACGGATAGTCCATGGTAACAGCCGTTAGCTCAGCACATACCGGCAATATGCGCTGCTTACTCGCTCGCTCGCTTACTGAACCACTCACTCGCTAGTCGCTAGTCGCTCACACTCTCACTCACATATTACTATATTTCTGAACGCATGTTTGAGTGAGTGATTTATATATGTTGAGTTCATAGGGCATGGCAGAGTGATAATACTATCGCGATAGTATAATCACTCTGCCATGCCCTATGAACTCAACATATATAAATCACTCACTCAAACATGCGTTCAGAAATATAGTCCCGATATATCGGGACAATAATTAATAAGGTGCAGAAACGTTAAGGTGGAATAACCTTGCTCTAAGTATTTATATACACTGTGGCTCTAAGTAACCGCTACAGAACGATAGAGATGAGATTTACACAAAAGAGGTCGATGCATATAGATCTCCTTCCATTACTTAAAAAATTGACCTGATAACTATGAAGATATATATAATGCAATATTAATGCTCACATTGCTTGTTGATAGGTCGTGACTTACAAATAAGAGTCGAAAGAAAATCAATTTCTTATAATCCTCCGACAAACGTGCAAATCTGACGCGGATGGATAGCATCAATTAGCACGCAAAAACAGCAGTAATTTTAGTTGTATTGGACGAGGGAGAGACCTCCAAGATTTATTGAAGTTCAAAGAACAAGTTGTGGCTGGTGGATTGCATTCAGTGCTGCCCTGACGGCCAATGAGAAGTCCAGTGTTCAATTTAGCGTTACCGCCTGTGTAAACACGCCGCGCAAACAAACACATTCCACAGTTTGTAAGTCAATTTAAACAGCAAGCCCAAATGCTCATAAGTTCAGAGGCTCGGTGGTTACGTACGACCGTCCAGCAAGAGTGGTTGGCCAGCCTATGTGTTTTTGGAATAATAACTTCGAATAACGCACTCAAGTACAATGACGTAGAAATGAGAATAGGTTTTGTGCGGACACTTCGGAAAAGTTAAACAGCCCTTAGACTTATTCAGCAATACAGATCGATAATTGTGATGCTGGAAACCAACAACTTAATACCTGAAGGGCGCACATACAGTTACTTACATATGTTTGCCTTTGGTTAGAAATTTGTACAGGTAACCCTGGATGTTTTTATGGACTGTGTCTATCCACGTGTGTCTGTTTGTCGGTGTGTTTGTGCGTATGTGTGTGTCTGTGTGTCTGTGATTGCCGGCTGATTCTGCGCGGGGCGTCTGCTGATCGCCGCCGGCTCCCCCGTTAATTGGGACCATGTGCTGCCGGCCCGAGTGGTCGGCGCCGACTATTAATGGTGTCTGGGCCGCGGCCGGCCGACAACGGCCCGCCGCCGGCGGCCGGAGCCGGCGCCGCGGCACTGGAGCGCACGGCGCGGCGCGGCGCGGCACGGCCGGCCCGCTGCCAGATCAATAGCTCCTCCTCTCTCCGAGCCGGCCACCGCCGGCGACGACCGTATCCATGACAACGACGCTCTCGGTCTCGGCCCGCGTCCGGAGAAGGCCCGCTGCCATTGATAGAGAGTGCTCCGGCGCTGCCACAGGCCGACGTCCGCCTGCGGCCGCGGCCGTCCCGTCTGCCGCCGCACCCCATCCCTGTCCCCCGCGCCGCCGGCCCGTGCGCGGCCCCTGTCCGGACAAGGTCAATTCGATGGGCAAACGCCGCCGAATCCAAAGCCTCTCAGACTGTGGACACAGCCGAGCGGAATCATTGGAATGCTTCAGGGCGACATCAGCCACTGTTATGTAACAGACGAGAATGGCACCTAAGGGACGCTGTATCTCCAATGTGCGCCAGCAATTTGTCTTCACCGCTGCCCCCAGGACGTAATCGAAAAAGTTTTCCGATTAAAAACATCTTTGGCCAGCTTATCTGACATTTGATTAAGTGCGCCGATAAATGTTTTCTAAATTGCTGCACAGTCTGATGTGGTATCCATGTGGTATACATGTGGTATCCATTATCCATGGTAGAGTAAGTACACAGCCGGATGTGTGTTGTTTTGTTCTAGGAAATAACCACCAATTGTCAGAAATTTTGAGAAAAAGATAGGAGGGAAGCTTTTCATTTGGACGTAATGTGAATAGGTTAAGGATTGCGCTAACACGATAAGCAGCAGTGATGTGTGAAAAATATGAAATATCAACAACTTGAATCGTTAGCATCTTTCTAATGGTAAAAAATATTCAAGACATCATATTAACTAATGCTATTGTGCGCTGTTTGTTAACATTTGGGCGTCTTTTGTCAACATTTAGCATGTCATTAGGACACCTTTGGCTAAAGCAGATTTGCATAAATGCCCGATTATGTAAATGAAGGTAATTCAGCGACTGCTACTGGTAACAGAAGTAGAGGAATTCAGAGCTATATTCGATGACTTCCATAGACGTTTTAACAAACCAGATCATCATCAAAACTCAACTTGGCAATATCCTCAAGACTTCAAGTCTATTTCAGAAACAACGATTAATTGGTAACTGGTGCATATAAAAAATAATAATTACATGAAGATTTTCATCTACGCGGCAGACGCTAGAATTTCTAAAGACATTTTCTTTGGATCCACTAGACACTTCTTTGGATCCACTAGACTAGACTGACTAGACTGATTAACATCGCACCCTTAAGAGCGACTTTGAATATCACATATTCAAAGCAGCAAAGACGTCGTCGCTTCCTAGCTATATCGTATAGGTGACAGTACGGGGAAGGCCACCCAGTCCAGTGACCGCTTCTGCTTAAACATTTTACAGGGCCTCGATGTAACATTCAGCATAGAATCCTCACGAAAGCACTTTTAGTCAAAGGGTTCACTTTTCAGTGCCTTCCGATTGAGGTCGACGACGTGCCCGGCGTACCGGGGTGGCTGAGGAAGGGGCGGGGTGGGGTCAGGGCTCCAACGGCCCCGGCGTGGGACGACGGCGCTCGTCGGAGCCGTGACACCGCCCCGACGGATCGGCACGGCGGCCGACAGACGTGACCGGCCTGCTCACCCGACCCCTCCCCTCCCCTCGTCGTCAAACCGCCACCGACGAGCCCCGGCCGGCCGGCCGGCCGCGCGAGACGTCGGTGCCCGGCGGTACAGCCTACTATCGCAGGCGTCCGGCCCGGCGCGGCGGCGCAGCCTACCAGTGCAGTTACGGCAGCGCCGCCGCCGCCGGAGACGAGCGCCGGTCTCAAGAGTAGCTTTGGAACGCGACGGCGGTGAATCGATTCAGTTGTAACTTCTTGAGAATGCAAACAGAAAGCCTTAAGTTTGAGATTGATCTTTGGTTTGAGCCCGGCTGAAAACTAATGTCACGTTGAATCAGCTTTTTCGATGCTAAGTACGAACTTGTTCCTCTCGTGTCGCTTGAATTCCAAGGCAAGGTTCAAACTTCAAAGCAGTGCTTATCCTATATCCCTGAACATCCTATGGGAATTATGTAGAGTGTATCCTATTATCTCTCTGTTCATGTGTCATTCCCTGAATGGTTTTCTTCATTCCCCGACCACGTCTCACCTGGTATATGGCCGGCGGGATCCACAGGACGTCGCCGTTCGAGTGCACAAGCACGTTGCACTTGTAGCGTACCTCGTAGTTACCATCAGCACTGTCCAAACAGACATGAGACAGCAGAGCAATTAATACCAAATCATATCGACTATCAGTGCATGATCAATAGATCACTGTATACTGTACAGCATCACCTATGATACGGTACAACATGCGCATAAATCACAATAATTGATATAGTTACCAGCCCGGCGTCCAAGCCTAAGGTGACAACTGATTACAATAAAGCTTGGTGACATTGGAACACAAATGAAAAACTGGCATCAGCGTTAAGAACTTACTTATTAAAAAGTACTATGTCTGGTTTCCAGACTTTGTCCGGCGGTAGCCGAAGGACCTGGATTCCTCGGTAGTCGGACTGGTCCCACATCAGCTGATAATCTCGCCATTTCTGAAACACAGCGAATGACAGTGCATTTTAAACTCGAGAGAAACGGCAACGACGCATTTTTTCAAGCAGAGAGTACGACAAAGTACTACATATAAATATAACACATGTTAAACATGATATCACATGCAAAAATGCTGCATGCGTTTTTAATCACACACCATCTAAATAGATGTTTGTCCATGCTTGGCGTGCCGTCAGGAGCCACGAAAGGAAAACAAATCCTTCTTAGTGTCAGAACACCGCACCTTCTTGCCTAAAGCTACTTCCGACATTTGTCATCTCAGATCCATGTTTAAATGGATTTAATTTCACTTGGTACGAGCAATGCGGCTGAGACTCTGGCCTGATTTGTTTGCCTTGCACAAGCTTGATCTACGTTATTAAGCGTAGAGTGAGCAAGATTAAACGTTGCAAGGAAATCACCGGGTAACCAGGCCGAATAAAGCACATGTGGAAGGAGGGAAATGAAGGGTGCTTTAACAACAGGTGGCACAAATGTCCGCTCGCAACCACGAGTAGCTGGATCGGTCCCTATGTCTCTCCTTTGTCTTCTTTGAGTATGGAAATCGTATGTCCATCACTGATGCTTTTGATCAGATTTGATCACGAAATCGAGCCGGACAAGTCATGAGCACTGCAGGCTCAAATTCCCCACATTGCCATTGCGCTCGTGCGTGACCTGCGCAACTCGCCAGGCGCGTTCCTCGAGCTCCGCATTACTCACATTCTGATGAGTAAAAATGGACGCATTGATACAGATATGGTACTCAGTGCGGTAAGCAGAGCATACATAGTTCGGTGGAAAGGCCTCGGTACCGGAACAGCGAACAAAGAAACTTGCAGGAGCTGGATGGGCTTATGAAAGAACCAGGCCTGAAAATAGAATGGGCTGAACCATTTGTAAAGGGATCTCTCTGGCATGAATAAAAAATAGCCAGCTTAATTGAATTGAAGAACATCCTGTCCATCATATGAATATGTGAGTGTTATGACTTCTATTCGAAAGTTAGCACATGATTTCAGGAAAAAGCAAACTTCTGAACGGATATTGGAGTTAGATAAGCCCGTCTGCTCACGGTTTTATAGTCATAAGCGATTTACTGCAGGCGAATTGGAACACAGCGTCTACATATAATCACAACCATGGACTAATTATATACTCAGTAGACTAATCCCCAACGTCCTCGAGTAGTCTGTGTCACGACAAACAGCCAGAGAGTGGCTCCGACTGTCAGCGGGGACGTCGGAGAAACTGAAATAAACACCTCTTGGACGCACACGGTGTCAATGGCAGCGCTGAGGAGCGGACGAGGCACAGTTTCTTAACGGAGACTCTCAGCGCACTGGTGAGGTGACTGCGCCAGCGCTCGAAATGATGACCCACTGGGCATCACGGTAGTCATCTTAATAACGCCAATCGGATTACATGCTAGGCAATCGTTTTCAGAGAGGCCCGTTTTGTTTTAACATCATCGAATAGCTTTTACACCGTTTCACCGTTTCCGACACACAATCTCTCTCTCTCTCTCTCTCTCTCTCTCTCTCTCTCTCTCTCTCTCTCTCTCTCTCTCTCTCTCTCTCTCTCTCTCTCTCTCTCTCTCTCTCTCTCTCTCTCTCTCTCTCTCTCTCTCTCTCTCTCTCTCTCTCTCTCTCTCTCTCTCTCTCTCTCTCTCTCTCTCTCTCTCTCTCTCTCTCTCTCTCTCTCTCTCTCTCTCTCTCTCTCTCTCTCTCTCTCTCTCTCTCTCTCTCTCTCTCTCTCTCTCTCTCTCTCTCTCTCTCTCTCGCTCTCTCTCTCTCTCTCTCTCTCTCTCTCTCTCTCTCTCTCTCTCTCTCTCACCTTTTCTCTCCTCTCTCTCACTCTCTCTCTCTCTCTCTCTCTCTCTCTCTCTTCTGTCTTTCGTAATTCTATCTCCTAACCTCAGGCTTGCTCTATATTTCTTTTTGTGAGTGTTCAAGAAGGTTTGTTAGTAGCTAAAAAAATCAAATAATGAATATTGGCACACGTCGTTTTCCAATGGTCCCGATATTTCATTATTGAGAAACGATTCGTTACATGCTCGTTACCAGAGTGCACGGTATAGCCGAGGCCGCACCTCACACCTAATTAGCAGTCTGTCCGTTCGCAGCCTGGTGCCCTCCCAGCAGCAGTCCCAGATGGGGAGACCATCCGATACCCAGAAAAGAAAGCACACAAGTACACATGCCGGTCGTAGAAGCACAGCAAACAGCAAAAGGTCCACAGTAAAAGAACAACAAATTCAAAATATACTCGTAGAGGTAAAAGAATGGCGGCTTTTGTACATGTCATCGCATGCACATTGTTGCAACGCATGCAGTCGGTCACCCGGGAGTGGTATGTCGTGTAACACTGAAATAATAAATTGGTACTGACCAGCCGTAACCATACGTTTGACTTCATAATTTGATTCTTCTCGTTCTGAAAAGAAAGGAAAAATGTTAATACGTAATTACTGCATGTCAACACTCTCACAGATTTAACCCTCGCCGGCCGAGGGGGGGGGGCGGGTGCCGCCCCCCCATAGGGTTTTTTCGCGATAGCTCCGAACACGCTGGCGATAGAGTGCTGAAACTTGGCATACCTGACCTTTGATCCAAGCCGCATCTTTTGACACCAACCGCATTTTTGGGTCAGGTCAGGTCACTGACCTATGACGTCATAAGTGAACCTCTGCACGGTCTTCAGATGTCGCAACTTCGCAACGCCCTCACTGCCAGAGGAGATGTCACAGGGAAATGAAACTTGCAGGATCTAGTATCCATTATGAGTCCCACAACTTGTATATCTCGGATTTTTCCTAAAGGTCATATGAGGTCAGGTCATTTTCGTGACCCCACCATTATAAGTCAATGGGGAAAAATGAAAACTGCTATTCTGGCGCCGGGAACGATCTCCAACTATCTCAAGCACACAGAATCGTGATTTGATGCACTCCTTGCAAGGTTAGATGCGTCACTTTTGCCATGTTGACCTTGGGTGACGTCATTTATGACGTCATCAAGGTCATATTAGTTTTTCGTCAATAACTCTTGATCAAATTGAGCTAGCGAGTCGGGGAAAGCCACCAATGGACTCAGGAAGACCTGCCGAATCGAATGATATGCGACATGACCTCTTTCGACCAACTTCGTGACCTGGGGGTGCTGACCTGACCTTGACCTGAGGTCAAAACCCCAAGTTGACCTGACCCGGACAAAAAGTATATCATTCGACGCGCCTGAACGAGACGAACACGATGCTGCCAAAATCGGCGCTCTGCGGCCGTTTTTTGCGAAGTTATTCGCCAAAAACTGAACCGTACCTTGGGGCACTTGACCTGACCTCAGAGGTCACCGGTTGACCTAGGACCTTAAAATCGGGTACCAATCTCTGCGTCTCGTAACGGCGCACACGCTCGTTTTTTCCGCGACGCGCTAGCTCCACCAGGGGCGAAACGGCGAGGGGGGGGGTCGTACCCGCTCCCCCCCCTCGGCCGGCGCGTATGTAGAAAACCAATAGGTCCGGCGAGGGTTAACCCGCGCCCTGCTGGGGGGGTGTTTGAACACCCCCCTTGTGGTTTTTCGCAAATATCTCAAAAACGGCGGCGCGGAGCGCCGCCGTTTTTGGTAAACCTTATCGTACATCAATTCTACACATGTTGTGAACATTTCAGACCAAGGTCATTCAAGGTCAGGTCACCAGGTCACTTGAAGTGACCTCACCTCATAAAAAGTTTCAATGTCTGTCATAGCTACACCGAGTGACCGATCGCTTTGAAACTTTCAGCGATTGCTAAGAGCAATAGCATGTACAAAATGTATATCTCAGAATTTTGATATCGATGACCTAAGGTCATGTCAATTTTGCGACCTCCCCATTATAAGTCAATGGGAGAAAATTGAAATGCGCCTCTTTTGGACAAAAGCCATTATAAACACTCCCAAATACCGCATTACAAGTGGTTTAGACACACTGAACATGAAAATGGTGTCCGTGACCCTTGTTTATGCCCTGAGGTCATCTTAGGTCACGAATGGTATCTAACAGTTTTTCGCAAATAACTTTTGATAGAGGCATGCTAGAGCGATGAAAACGCCTTAGATGTGTTCAGCTCGACGATACGGATCGACTGATATGCAACATGACCCTTTCCGGTCAGGTCATGACCTTGACCTGAGGTCAAATTTTCAAGTTGACCTTTCAAGGTCAACTTATAGTTCATTTGATGCGTCTTGACGAGAGGAACACAATGCCGGTAAAAGTAAGCTCGTACAAGGCTTGGGTCAAAAGTTATTGCAGAAAAACTGTTTCCGAAAAAATCGGCTATTTTTGCAATTTTTGCCCCCTGCAGGCAAAACCGTTGACGTTAGGTCAAATCTGAGAGAATTATTCAGAAAGGGCTTAAATAGGGCTATCGAATGCGCTTTTCCGCGGCGCTGTAGCTCTATTGGTTCTCGAGTTATGCGTTGGCTTCTTGGAAATTTTCGACATTCGACCTGGAAATCGGCGAAATTTTGCCTCCAATGACCTCTGGTGAACTGACCTTTGACCTGACCAAAAAAATTGACCGTAGTGATTTCGTCATTATTTTTGACGCTCTTTCGAACGCCGCCTTCCGCGTATCGCTACGTGGCCCAGGAGCCGAGTTACAAGGGGGGGTGTTCAAACACCCCCCCCCCCCAGCAGGGCGTGGAAATCCAGGACCCCCAGCCGGGCGCGGGTTAATAAGGATAAATTCATCTTTTTCTGATAATCTTTTCTCTTATTCCTGCTTCCATATTGTCTTTTTAATTTCGAAAGAATATTTGATGCGATTTAATACCTATGGAACATTTGCCATTCGATCGGGAGTGGCTGCTGCCGGTAGACACATAGCAGTTCCTCCAGCCGTGCCTCCGCGACCATTCCTCTGCCTCCAGTGTAACGGAGGAAGTGTCGGCAGCGCCGGCACGTTCCCAATGTTTGCCGTCCCGAGTCTCACTGAGCAGTCTGTTGACCGAACGTGGGGTCTGTCTGCAGACACCGCCCCCCCCCCCCCCCCCACGCCCGGAGCCGTGCCGTGAAATGGGGGTCACGGCAGTCTACACCAGCACATCATCGCCCTCATTGGTCGCTCGGGAAATGAAACGCGCTCTCACCCTCTTCCCCTTCCCTCCCCCCGGTCGGTCAGCTCCGCCATCATCCGCCCAGGGCGGCCACCCCCCCCCCCCCCCGACGTCGGCTAGCAAGCCGACCTTCTGTCTGAAACACATCTTCAATTCGACCTGTGACTAACTCAGACCGGCGCTCAAGCGCTGCGAGAAAAGTAAAGTCTGACTCGTCCGTAACATCTGGCTTTCGCATCTGGTTTTCGACAGGGCGAAGTCAGCTCATAAATAAGTGAATGGTGTCTGCACGCTTGATTTGACATTCGACGATGGTGTCCGAAAGGACTGCGACATCATCCATTTCACATGCGTCATTGCGTCATCTGCGTCGCCATCGTCATCAGCGAGATCATTAACATCAATAATCTATCTAAAACGAGCCGCATCAGTCAAGATGATTTTCAGCTAGCTCATGGCAGAACTGTCAGCATCAGCATAGTTCAGTTAAAACTTAACCCATTATTTGTTGATGCTGGAAGGTATTTCGCTCTAATGGCATGAGAATAAGTTTTGATCATTACAGACCCCATATGAAGCATTTCAAACTATCTTTCATCATCAATACTTATCGTATACAGCGTAGCAAGCGTTTTGTAATTATCGTAAAAGTATAAGCTGAAACATAACAACATGTGACCTCATTCCCCACGTCGTCACGGCCAGACCGCGACCCTCTCTCTCCCGTCCCTCTGTCTGCACCTCGCCCGCGGGGCCGACCGGAAGGTCAAGGTCACTGCTGACGAACTACCCCCGGGAGGTAGGCTGTCCCGCTGTTGCTAGGCGGCGCGGCGGAGAGCGGCCGGCGAATAGCCAGCACAGGGGCCCGGCGGTGAGCCCAGCTCGTCCACATATTCATGAAATGTCATGTTCCTTTTCGGGCAAACAGTCAAACGGCAAACTGGTATAAAATGATGAATTGTGAGTCGGTTTTATGAGCTGCAAACTCCTTTATTAACTGTCCGACTTCTTGGGCAATAGACTTGCAAACCTCATCTCCGCCCACTTGCAGCAACGACGCATCAGTTCCACTCTAATCCTATCACCACACATCCAACACAGTGTCTCGGGCCTTGTGCTAGCCTGCTCAATGACCACCACTTGAATTATTTGTGAAACCACTTGCATCAATACAATTTTAACCCTTTCATACGCACCCTCATAGCCCCAGTTAAGGCCAATCACGGCCACTTACCACGTGGATGAGCTGAATGAAGGCCAGTCCGAACTGGACGGTAACGGTCCGGTTCATATTGGCCACTGGCCGGATAAGCTTGTTGTAGCCGAAAAACAGGTCCGACACTAGCCGCTCCTCGTCCTCTGAGCACAGGCCTGCGGACGGAGACACGACGTTAGTCGGGACAGCAACAAGCTCATTTTTTTCGCAGAACGGCAGAACGGTGGAATACAGTTAGACGATACAGAAACTATTCGCTCCGGCTGAAAACCCGGTAGATGCTTGTTGTTCAAATTCAATCATTACAATATACAATTTGCAGTCGATAACGAGTTTGTAATTTCGCAACTGTGCATTGCAAAACACCGCATTTTATCCATGACGCTTCGACGTCTTTCGATCAATGCAGTTACATAACTTAATTGAAACTCTGAAGACAGATGCAATTTAGCACAGCGCGTCACGAACTTCAAAATATTGTGTCAAATGAAAGCTTTTCCTGCTATGTGATAAAAGGTGCTTGCTCAGTAGGTACACCATTTCATAATGCTCGAAGGCATGATCATTTCTAAACCCGAAATTTCAAACACGGAGTATGGACTTTGATTCATGGAGTATGGACTCAGCACTTCAGCAGTCACGCTCTCATTGGTACATTTACAAACGCTCATAGTAACGGAATTAAAATGAACCACAAGTCATATCAGTTCGTTTCGTTACATTCCATTTATATTCACGGCCTGCCAAATGCCGCAGTCGACGTGTAATATCACTGCCACAATGGACTGTCGACGCGTCGAACGGCGTCCATCGTCGCAGCTGTCTGCCGGTCGGAGCGGCCACCCATCTGGGGTCGGCTCGCGTCCAGCAGACGCCAGCCGGCCATCCGACTCCAAATCGGCGGCCACTTGGCCACTCTGTCACCGGTCGCGGCGGCCGTTCACAGAGATTGTCCGGGGCCGAGCGGCCAGCGCATCCCCCGGGGACCGACTCAAGGCTGACCATGCCACGACTTCAAATCAGTGGCCGGTGGACGAGTTTTTTAATACATTCCTCGTTATGATTTTTCATGCATGAACTACCACCCACCCAGGTAGTTATTTCGACTCAATTTACAATAAAAATAACGAGGAGAGTAATGAGTATGCAGCATAATCATATGCCAACGATGAGCAGCGAGACCCTAAAAAAAAAACGGCAAAAAAGACGACAGAAATAAACACTACCACAACACAACAAGAAAAGCACCGTATAGCCACCTCCTCTACTTATTCTTGAGATTTGAGCAGGATTGGCGGTAACTTTGCAGTAGCCCAGTAGCACCATCATAACGACATGCCCTGCCAAATAGTTGTGGAGCAGCAAGAGCCTTTCTGAACACTATCAAAATCCAGTTCTAATATCACTAAGCCTGATTGAGTGGAATGTTATGGACGGCTCAAGACAAAACTCCATAAATCATTCCGTTTGGCAGCCAAGACGTCCCTAAATGGTTGTCACTGTCCTCTCTGACGGGGGATTTCATTATTTCTGGGCCGTGGAGCCGGTCAGATTTCCTTCAATCGACGTCCGCATAGGCCGTAATCAGGCGTGCTGCGGGCCGGCGGGCCCGGCGAGCCGTCTTCCCCGGGATTTCTCCGGCCGGAATGACATCTGTGAGTGTTCATCATAGGAGGCTTGTCCACCCAGCCGACCAAGGACGGGGAACGGGGACAGAGCGTGGGGACGGTGGGCGATGGATGGTGAGTGGTGGGCGGCAAACGAATAGAGGACAGATGGACGGACCGATAGACGACAGAAGGACAGACGGAGAGACGGCCGAAAGAAGCATACAAAGCAGGCGTATAGACGGCAGGCGTATACACAGCAGGCGTATACACAGCAGGCGTATAGACGGCAGGCGTATAGACGGCAGGCGTATAGACGGCAGGCGTATAGACGGCAGGCGTATAGACGGTAGGCGTATAGACGGCAGGCGTATAGACGGCAGGCGTATAGACGGCAGACGGATAGACCGGAGACGGTAGAAGGGAAGCCGGCAGAGGGATAGACATGAGGTGACAGAAGACGCCGGCAAGCTGCGAGCAGTAGACGGTGAGGGATAGACGGTGGACGGTGGACAGTGAGGGGTAGACGGTGGACGGTGGATGGTGGACGGTGGACGGTGGACGGTGGAGGTAAGTAGTGGTCAATGAAGTATAGACGGCAGGCGGGCAAACAGCAGGCCCGTAGACAACAAGCTGATAAACGATAGACGAGAAGACGGCAGACGGATAGGTGGCGGACGTATAGACGACGTATAGACGGCAGACGGGTAGATGGCAGACGGATAGACAGAAGACAGATAGACGTCAAACCGATATAGACGGAAAGACGGATGCAGACTCAGACAGATAGACGACAGACGAATGCAGACGGATAGAGGGATGCAGACGGCGACGGATATACTGCAGGAAGATAGACGGCAGACGGATGGTGCCGACGGCAGACGGATGCTGCAGACGGCAGACGGATGGTGCAGACGGCAGACGGATGCAGACGGCGGGCGGGCGGCGGACGTTCTCGGTTGACTGGGCCACACTGAGCCGGCCGCTCTCGGCGCCGATGGTCCATCGCGACGAGCGGTGGCCACCCGTCGGAGCTGGGCGGTCCCGTCGAGACAGACGAGGAAATGAGCGACGCCCCCAGTTGGGCGCGCAGCGCGCCGGCTAACGACGAGGCCGCGCGCCGGCCAGAGTGGCGAGCGAGCGCCGGCGGATATTGGACGCCGGCGGTCAGAAAGAAAACGATTGCTCTATCGAGAAGGGCTGTATCCAGGCTTCCTTGATGACTGGGGTTGGAAGGATATTGTGTAACTCTTATATGCATGCTTTTATATTCTTTTCTTCCTTACATTTCGTTCTGTTTTATACATCTTATACTTTTAGCCATCTTTTCTAAATTTCTTTTGGATTCATGTTGGTGCAGTGCTCCGCTGCTAAGAAAAAAAAAACTTGCAATATATGGTTCAGTATTAAATCTAAGTTCAGTATTATATCATACATGTAAGTTTATATTCGAGTAGCATTCGGTGACTGTGTGGTAGTTACGAGCGAGCGAGCGCAGCGAGCGAAGTGAGTCTTTTCAATATAACAGAAAAATCTCAGTATGAGCGGCCCGGCCCGGCCTGTAACGCTTTTGAGAGGCTTATATCTCAGCAACCGCTGGACCGATTGGCCTGCGGTCTTTTTTACTGGGTAGCCCCATCCCTTCTACCCCGTAATTGACTACTTTTGATGCATCTCAGTGACCGCCGTGGCACGTGCCACGTGAAAAGTCAAGGGTGTTCAAGCAGTTTTGCAAAAGTAATGATTTTGAGAGGCCCATATCTCAGCAGCGGGTTGAGCGATTGTCTTGCGGTCATTTTTATAGGGTAGCTGCATCCCTTCTACCAAAGGTCGGATATTCTTGATCTATGTGAGTGACCCCCACTGCACGTGCAAAATACAACAATAAGAGGTGCTGAATTTGTTCCCATTTCAGTAACTCGGTAATTACTGGGGCGATTTCGCTGAAACTTGGCATACAGGTAGGCACCCACCAGGCAATGCATTCCCATGTGTTGCGGTTAGGGTGCTACTGCACGTGCGCACGTGCAGGGGGCGTTTCCAGATCTCGAGAACGGCTGGGCCGATTGCGCTCAAATTTGGTACACGGTTGGGGACCGGTTAGTAGGGTGCCGTGCAAAAGTCATTTTGGACCCCGTTTGCACGTGCGCACGTGCAGAATGCCGCTTCCAGATCTCAGGAACGGCTGGGCCGATTGCGTTCAAATTTGGTACACCGCTAGCGACCGGTTAGAAGGGTGCTTTGCACAAGCCCGTTGGAAGTAGCCTCTCGCCCTTCTGCACGTGCAGGGCTCACTATCTCGCTCGCTCGTTCTTCGCCCAAAAGGCGTTTTACTGGTGTTACAGAACGAACATTACCAGAAACAGCCTGTTGCGCAGGATCTAACGATAACAAAAGCAGTCCAGATGAGCTCTGATTAGGCAACTGGCAAACTTTGGAAACGAGCGATGGCAAACAACACGCCACAACACGCATTGTCTGACCGAACTGATCTCAATGGCTGTGACGTTGATCGGCACCGGTGCAGCCGCGGAGACAGTCGTCCCGCCAAACCGCTGCTCTATGTGAGAGTCCAAAGCCAGTGAAGCTGCCCGATTATAGTCAGCTTATGTGGCCAATATTCGGTTACAAATAGTTCCGATAACGCTTCACTAGCCCTGACTGACGGACGGTCCGATCAGTTTTCCGGCCACTTTGCCGCTCCCTCGAATAGCCTCTTCAACTCATGATCCCATCCGACGGATCGGAAAATCATTTCTTTAAAAGGCAGTGATGGCGATCGCGGCATAAATACTAAAACTACGAGCGAACTGAGAGTCACGCTGGCAGCGGCGACATTTCGACGATGCACTCATGCAATGTATTGCACACCCTTGTCTAATATGCAGTGTGGTGTAAGCCTCGCCGGACCTATCTGTTTTGTTTATGTGTTACAGTAAAAGGGCATGCAGCACCGGTGCATTTACTGTTTTGGTAAATGACCTCGGCAAAGATGATCACGAAGCAACAATTTTGCTACCATCGTGCTTATCATGTCCATCCGCGTCGAACGATACACAGTGACGTCATCGAACGGCAAAAATGAGGAAAAAACTAGCTAGGTGAGCATCGAAACTTGTAAATTATTGTTCACGTTTTTTATTACACTTCCATGTTATTAGATTTAGATTTATTCTTACCTAGGTAAGAACAAATCAGGTAGATAGATTTATTCTTACCTACCACGGGCCTCCCTATTACCAATTTATTTAAGAGAAGTTTTTTATTTCTCTTATTGAGTTACAATGAGGAGGTCCCGTAATAGACCTAATCTCATCTGGCTGTTATACAAATAGGTAGGTATACTAAATACGTGATAAACAAGTTGTAGCAGCCTGAGAGCTCTATCGTTCCTGAAAATTTATTTTAATGTCCCTGCAAAATATTGGCACTGCGAGCAAAGAGAATGCTTAAATTGAAAGTTTGAAACATTAACCAATGCTTATAATAGCTTATGCATGACGACATTAGGTTCTGAAAAATGCAGTTGAAGCGAGAAAAGGTTGAGTTAAATCAAAAGTCGTATATGCCAGCTTTAGTATGTTAAGCTTCACGAGAAAAAAAGAATCAAGGGCGGCACCACGCACTCTTAACTGCAGGTGCGGGGTTAGACATTCCCAGTTGGACCGGTGTGCTGCAGTTTGGGTCATTGATCTGACCTAAGAGGTCATTATCTGAATAAAAAACCGCACTGAACTTACAGGTTGACGTCTGAACTTAAAATTTGGTACCATTTGCAGCGTCTCGTGACAGCCTACTCTCTAGTTTCTTCTGCAAAGCTTTGGCTTAATAAGGAGCAAAAACGGTGGGGGAGGGGGGGGCGCATATATCTAACCCGCTCCTCCTCTTATCTCTCACTTGGCTGGATATTAGGTAGCAAAACAATACGTACGGCGAGAGTTAACTGGCCGCGGATAATATGCCTTTTTTGCAGTCAGTGTTTGAGCCGCTGGGAAACATTTTAACATTCCAATCCAGTTTCTTGCGATCATATAAAAACAGCGAGAACGGTAAGGCATAATTTCATCGATAACGCAATATTTCAAACCTTATCATGGCCTTGATCTGTGGTCAAATTTAAATGAAGCCATTTTTCGGGAGCGCTGAATCCGAAAGTCCGAAAGCCGTTGGCATTAAAATCGCTGAAAAGAAAGAAAGTCGCTGGCATTAAAGATGACAATAACCTTACTTCGAACAAATCTTAAAAATGATTCGTCAGTTTCGAAATTAATTTCATAAGAGTTCTGCAGCGTCGCGAGCTCCCCCCCCCCCCCCCAACACTCTCTCGCACGATGCGGTTGGCACCGAACGTCACAACAGTGGGAGAAACTTGAGCTTGTCTTTAAATTTTATCGGTGAGAGCTTTCAATCGCCGCCTATCCCATATATCTATTATACCAGTCAAACGCCTTAGTTGGGCGAAGAACGAGCGTGCGAGACAGTGTCCTGCACATACGGAAGGGCGCGAGGGATACTTCCAACTGGCTTGTGCACTGCACCCTACTAACCGGTCACTAGCGGTGAAAACAATCGGCCCAGCCGTTCCCAAGATCTGGAAGTGGCACCCTGAACGTGCGCACGTGCAAACTGGGCCCAAAGAGATAAACCGGTCCCTAACCGCTTACCAAATTTGAGCGCAATCGGCCCAGCCGCTCTCGAGATCTAGAAACGCCCTCTGCACGTGCGCACGTGCAGTAGCACCTTATCCATAACACATTAGAATGCATTACCTGGTGGGTGCCTACCCAGGGCAGTACCCACATGCCAAGTTTCAGCGAATTGCCCCAATAATCCCGAGTTATTGTAATGGGAACAAATTTGACACATCTTTTTGCATTTTGCACGTGCAGTGGGGGTGACCCACATGCCTCGAGAGTATCCGATGTTTGGCAGAAGGGACGCAACTACCATGCAAAAATTACCGCAAGTCAATCACCCCAGCGGCTGCCGAGATATGGGCCTCTCAAAATCGCTACTCCAGCAGAACAGCTTGAACACCCTTAGCTTTCCACGTGGCATGTGCCGGGACGGTCACCTAGATGCATCAAGAATAGTCAGTTACGGGGTAGAAGGGATGGGCTACCGAACAAAAAAGACCGCAGGTCAATCGGCCTAGCGGTTGCTGAGTTAAAATAAGCCTCTCAAAAGCGTTACAGGCCGGGTTGGGCTGGGTCGGGCCGGGCCGGGCTGGGCCGCTCATACTGAGAGTTGCTACGTGATATTGAAGAGGCTCGCTTCGCGCTTTGCGCTCGCTGGTTACCAACTGTCTTTATGTTCCCGTCACAGAAAAGAAAAGAAAAGTATATTTAATAATGACGATTATGGCAAACCAAACTTACGCTTACGCAATACGCATGCTATGAGAATATATCGATCAGAATAGATGTTGCTTCCCTGTCTTGGTCCTTTCATAATTGATAGCGTTGTTCTCTATTACGAGGCATATTGTCGCCGGACAAAGGCCAAACATAATGACAGTGGCTCATTCATTAGCGGTCTTTGTTAGGGGGCGAACAATGGGCTGGTGGCCACACAGGCCAATGTTCGGTAGCAGTGGTAGCACGGGATCTGCAAATGATGTGCTGATTTGGCACGGGTCCCAAATCCACCGATGTTAGTATTTCCAGAGCCCTGTTGGACATTTCCGAGCGCAGACTACAGCGAGTAGGTATCGGACACGCGGAGCAAACTGAGTTTGCTCACCACACAAGACCCTACAAACACACCGTTGGTCGAAGACAAACATGGACCTCTTACCTGAAGCCACTGCCCCCCCCCCGGTCCCACCGTCTGACCCTTCCCCCCCCCCCCCGAGCGCACCCCAACCTACCTCTGCCGACGAGCCAGGCGAACATCACCAGCAGCATCCTCCAGCTGTTTGGCACGACCCTCATTTCGCCTGGAGCGGCGTGCACTGGCCGCGACCGAGAGAGCACTGAGCAGCACGGGCGGCGCGCCGGCCCGCCAGCTGCCGGCGGCTGCGGCACCGGCGGCGCGCCGGCGGCGGTCGCCGCGCAGCGCCGCAATCGATGCCGTCCGCTGATCGTGGCGCGCGTCGATGTCGGAGGCCCGGCGGCGCCGCTGTATCGACAGCGGCCGCGCGAGCACGCGCCGGGATGTGTGGGGAGTGAGCGACCTCTGTGCAGCGTGACACCGCTTACCGAGCCGCCCCAGCGACCTCTGGCCGCCAATGAACGAGCTCTGGTCACCAATGGACGGTTCCAGTCGGCCGGCTTTATGTATATGTTGGCTCTGGCGGGATGAAGGTGACCTGCATTTCAAACATTGGTTGCGCATTATGTGCTTGCCCTCGGTTTTAGATTGAGACTTGACTTCACCCCACATAAGACTTCATGTGAGGTCAAGGTCACCATTCGCCAACAGTATCGGCAATGGCCTTCGTTATAATCATGTTGCAGCGATGAAACTTCCCCTAATAAGAGCAATCCAATAACATAGAATCGATTGACAGGTACCCTGACCTTTATCGGTCAGATCTCGATCATGACCTGCAGTGAGACGGCTAGATATTCCTGTTTAGCTTAGTATACCTTTTAGCTGATGTCATACACAGTAAGAAATGTTTACCTACTAATTTCCTAGTTATCCGGCCTCTTTTCACTAACAATGTTAGTGAAAAGTGGCCGGATATCTAGAAAAGTATTAAATATTTTTTACAATGTATGTAGACCATTCGACGCGCCTCGCTACGAAAACAATGATGACGCTCAGGACCGGCAGATACCGCTACGAAGGTGATGTGAACCACGCACCTGCGAAGCTCGGTTATCACGGACCCGCCAACCGGATGCCACAAATTCAGCAGACGTTATAGTGAATATCTTAGCATCGCATGTCTCGCCAGGGTCATACTGCCGTAAATGTCGCAGTGATAAATTCACTATGGTTTATGCACTCTAAGTCTTCTGAAATTGATTTTTTTCGATCATTAATGCCTCCTATATCCCAGAATAATGCGTGCAGTGGAAGAGGGAGGGGTGAATTTCACCCACGCTTCCTGTTTTCCACAAATATCTCATGCCGCCATCCTTCTATTTATGTCGAATTTTCAGTACCTGTCTGGCATTGCATTGTGCATCTTGCCACGCAAACAATTAGTAAATCGGTCTACAACTTCTTTAATAACGGTCTCGCAAAGCGGCGGCGCGCCGGCCGATACTTGCCGCCGGACTGGTAGACTGTGCCGGTCCAGAACGATTCCGTCTTTGCATTGCGCTGCTTAGTGTTTACCGCTGCATCATCGACTCGCTTCAAGGTCTCTGTGAAGACTTAGAAATGTACAGACAATCTTATAATAGAAAAATATGAAATATGTGATGGTTATTTCTTATTAGAAAGACATATCTCACAGGTCTCACAAGTCACAATAGCAGAGCTGGATGTTCGTGAAGCTGGCAAAAAAAAAGATTCAATAGGTCGGTATAGACATAAGTAATTAGTTCTCAACACAGAGGATCGATTGGGGTTAGGGGATAAAAGCAAATTTCTCAGAAAAGAAGACATTGAAAATGCATCGTTCATCGCATTGAAACACCGTCTATTAGGTCGAACACAGTGCAAACGGAGAACAGTTTCCAGTCATGGAGAATTGTAGGGAGTTGTGGAGGATCGGGCAATGCAAATCCACCGTCGTGGCTTCGCCGGTCTGGCTTTGGGACCGCATCAAACGGCGAGGGTCAAGGTCACCCACGCTGGGGCGGCGGGTATGCGGTGCCCGAACACCCTCAGCTCCTCACAATTATCCACGCATGACAGTTTTTCACGCCACCTGGGGATCTGCCCTCCGCTATTGGAGACTGCAACGCCTGACACCTACGCCACGGAGAAACTCCGAAACGTGTGCGCGACATGAATATGTCGTGCGACAAGGCTTAAATTTTCCTGGTAGTGTTTTCTTCACCAATGTATCAATGAATTAGGAATACTTTAAATATAAAAATCAAATCAAATAGATAACTGTGCTCTTAACGTTACGGATTTAGTTTCAAACATGATAACGGAGAGACCGTAATCGACTTTTCATGCGTAGCTCAGTCAGAAATTCATACGTCAGGCTCCTTTTCAAGCTCCTTTCCAAGATATGAACCTCTATGTAGCGAATGACTTGACATCGACACCATGTGACCATTCAGGCATTCGAGTACTGGAATTATGGATATGAGTTGGTAGAACTGTTATTAACTATGAAGCAATTAATAATATAATTGATAATAATAGGTATTAATTATTTCTGCATCTGTCTTCTGAGTTCTGTCTCTATTGTTCTGGTTCGATATATTGGATCATGGGTGTCTACATACGATTCAATTCGAAAATTACGTAGGTAACATATCTTGCAGACTAGTTAGGAGTCAACAGACATTTTCATAGGTCACTTTTATTCTTTGAGAAATAACATAGCATTACATATCTATTGTCAACGCCTGTTCTTATTAGGAATATGTTGCATGTACCGTCGTAGAATCTAATATCAATGCCTTAGCGGTGCATCGCCTTCATGGCCTGCAGTCCTTCCAGCACGGAATCCATAGGCAGCTTATCTGTGAAGAGAAAGTTTGGCTTTTTTATTTCTAATTTCATGCATAGCCCGTATACCTGCATATATTTGCATCAAATATTATTGCTATGGCTATGGCTTCAGTGGAACGTAAATATTCGGTAAACAGCCGTTTGAAGGATAAAATTTATGCATTTGACGCAATTTACACTCACTCTGTTTGACCCATCTCACCATTTAATAGTTCGTGCGCTTTCCAATCACCAACAACAACTAATCGGGAGATTGGCTACGCTTCAGATCGCCCCCACCTCTGCCTTATTCAACCCACCGTCGGTCATCGGCTGCGCACTGAAGCCGAAGTCGTGCAGCATGTCGAGGATGTCCTGCAGCACGATCTCCAGACCGGTGTCGACGTCGACGCGGCCGTGCTCGATGTCCTCGATGTCGGCGATCAGCTGGTCGATGTCGGCCTCGATGGCCTCGGTCTTCTCGCGGCTGAAGCCCAGGAATGGGCCGAGGATGTCCAGCACGGCCGTCAGCGCCGAGTCCAGCTCCGCCAGCAGAGCGTCCAGCTCGGTCGGTGTCTCACTGGCTGGAAACGGACGGTGGATGACGGTGACGGCGACGGCATGAAGAGGTGCGCGTGCCACTTAACGGTCAGCCGATTGGTGGTACCGGCATTCACAGTTAAACAAGTTACAGTAGTGAGCTATTACATCAAAGAATTTCGGCGCTTCTTTCCAAATGACCACCTTCGCACGGTTACTTACTGGGAGCGACCCAGTCGATTCCCAGGATCCGGAGCATCTCGAGGACATCGGTAATCATGGCGGCCAGTCCATCGGCGATCGGCACCTGTCCGTGCTCCAGAGCCTCGACATCGGCGACGAACTTGTCGAACTCGCGTCTGAACTGGAGCGCCTGCTTCTCGGTGAGACCGATGAAGGGCGCGATGATGAGCAGATACTTGTCCACCAGACCCTGCAGCTCCTCCAGAAGTATATCGATCTGAGACTTGGGTGCTGCGGGCGGACACCGGGCGTCGTCAACACTGAGCAACTGAGTATTATCTACATAAGTAGTATCTATATAAGTCCTACTTACAGCCACAGGACACCGTCAACACATGCCCTTCAAAATAGTCGCTAACTTAGCCCAGATTGCTAGTAGTACTCACTGGTCTCCTCGAGAAGGCCCTCAGTGTCCAGCTTGGCGCCCAACTGGTGCATCACCATCAGGATCTCAGTGAGCGCCGACTGCAGGCCGGACTCGACATCCGTGGCGCCGTCGGCCAGCGCGTGCAGCGCCTGGGCCGCCTGGTGGACCGTCGACACGGCGTCGGTCCGACCGTACCGCAGCAGCAGACGCACAGCCTCGCTCTCAGCGGCGCTGATCAGGCGGGCAGTGTCGAGGGACGCTGGGGAAGCGAGACTAAGTCGGACGTATTTTCTAGACATCCCAGCTCTACATGCAACATTCGTAACTCCATAATCGTGATTCACATTTTTTGCTGAAACGAGTGAATGTCATTTTTGAATCCACATCGGTTGTGAATCGCCAACATTTTGTCAGGTGGGCAGTGACTTACCTTGGTTTTGCAATTGCAGCTTAGCATTGCCGAGCTGTGCCTTGACGAGTTTCAGCGTCCGCAGCGCATGCTTGGTCTGCTCTCCTACTTCCTGTGACAGCTGGCCCGAAAGCGGTGCTGAAAAACATCACTGTTATACTTATAGCATAACGAGTATATGGTTGATGGATCAATGTAGGGATATGAGGCAGCTTGTAAGCTACGATGCGTCCCTGCCTATCATGCAATAACGATTATTTAGTCTAAGATAAAAAGGGATCATAATGTTCTTCCTAGTTCCTGGACGTACTGTTTGATAAGCGCACGTAAGCGCACGCATAACGTGCGGCACGTTGCACGTTTCTGAAAGCCACGATTTTGAGTAACATCGACTCATCAAAATAGTACCGACACTACAAAGTTTGCTACAAAGGCAGTTTCTAAGAAACGAATCGAATGAGGGATCGGATAGCGGGATAGATGAAACAATCTGACCATTTAACTGTTTGCGTGACTACATGATCAAATGTCGCCAAAAAATGTCAATCCTACGATTCACTCACGTAGTCGTGGAACAGCGGCGGACGAAACGACCGCCACCAGCAGGGACGTCGCTATCAGCCTCATGTTGTGGCTGTGAAGTGTGGGTGTGTCTGTATGCGTCTGCACAAGGGGCGTGTCTGAGACAGACTTATATCGCCCTCGGCCGAACCGCAGCTGAGTTCGCTCCCACGCCGCGCCTGCATTACTATCTGGCGCCATTCCTCGTCACATGAGGCGACAGAAGCGGGGGGAGGGCTGCGGAGTGCGGGGGCACAGTGTCCTTCACCTTGAGGGGCTAGGGGCAAACAAAGCTTTTTGCCACCAAAAATTAGCCATCGATCCAAACACCACGATTTGCTGGAAACGTATCCCAATCTCTTCGACTGCGGCTCCCTCCCTTGTTCGCATACCTACTTATTTCTTTCAGCCTTGTTGGAAGCAAATACACAGAGTAAATTCATAATTTCGTCTCTTGACGTTATAAATATGAATATTGAAAAGGAACTGGGCTCTGATTGGCTTTCTACATCGCTGGCTGCACTTGTTGGGTTTAGCCAGAGCCTTAGCCGCTTCGACCCCCAGATATGTTAGCAGAGCTGGGCTGCACTGACTGGCCCAGGGCGACACCGTGAGCCGTGCTTAGCATTTAGAACATGCCAAGGGTGCTGACTGCTGCAAACGAGTTGTCGCAAGCTCCCACAATATTTAAAGGACCGGAGCGTATCCTTTTGGTTGAGCATCGTTGCGCTCCAAAACCCCTGACAGCAGCATTCTGCCCCACCTCCCAGAACAGATGTAACAGGGGGAGATTCTTCCCCCCCCCCCCAACTTCCGAACCGATGGTCCAAGAAAGTCGGAAAAACGACAATCGAAAGCTCTTAACAAGACTTTTGCTTTTTTGCTCGAAAGCTCTTTTGAAGCACAAAAGAAAATAATAATAATTATGCTGATAACTTTCTAGGATGTTTTCTTGAAGCATTGGCTTGGCCTATAAAAATAAAAATAATAATAATAATAATAATAATGATGATGATGATGATGATGATGATGATGATGATGATGATGATGATGATGATGATGATGATGATGATGATGATGATGATGATGATGATAGTAATAATAATAATAATAATAAATAATAATAATAATATAATAATAATAATAATAATAATAATAATAATAATAATAATAATAATAATAATAACAATAATAATAATAATAATAATAATAATAATAGTAATAATAATAATAATAATAATAATAATAATAATACCTAATAATAATAATAATAATAATAATAATAATAATAATAATAATAATAATAATAATAATAATAATAATAATAATAATAATAATAATAATAATAAAAATAATAATAATAATAATAATAATAATAATAATAATAATAATAATAATAATAATAATAATAATAATAATAATAATAATAATAATAATAATAATAGTAATAATAATAATAAGGAGGCACTAGGTCCGGTAAAAGTTATGTCCTCTATAGGGGAAGGTGGGGTAAGACGGCCCAGCGGGGCAAGACGGACCACCAGCCCTCCCGGCTGAACCGCTGCTGGTATCTACTGCTTTATGCACTCACTATGTTTGTTGTCCTTCGTAACAATGGCCACCTTGAGCTCATGCTGCTAGGATGCATAGCTTTTGAGTTATTGAGAAAAATGTTGTTTTTCGTCAAACCGATCTAATATAAGAGGTCTACGGGTGATTCAATTGCGGCGTCTTTCTTGTATGATTAGTTTCTATTTTGCACTTAACTGTGAAGAACAAAGTTATAAACTTAGTTATAGTCACACTTTAGGAAAAGCAAGGTTTTGTAATGTTGGGCTATTTGACATATACGTCATGATAATGACAGAATTTAGATTTGGGGCAAGACGGACCACTGTGGTCCATCTTACCCTGTGGTGGTCCATTGTACCCTGCATATGGAAAGTTCTTTTCCAAAACATTGACACAAGTTTAAGTAAGCTAATTTTTCAGGAAGGAGTCTTTGTTGCATGTGAGCCATGCATGCAAGTGCTCAGTTAGCATGCATTCATGCCAAACGACGATCAACACACATGTTCCTAGCTTTTAGCTGCACTTCCATCACACATGAGTAAAGAATAAAGGCTCATTTTGTTATTTTACCATTCTGGCTACTTTTTCTTACAAGAGTACAGAGCAGAAGTGTAACACACATGAACGGATAGCAGGCACTGCTGGGTGGTCCGTCTTACCCCACGTTTTTTCTTGTCTGAGTTTTTGACATGTCCCTCTTTAACAGCATCCACCACCTAGATGTCTTTAATTTGAAATTAAGTCTTTACACATATCAACAGAGGAAGGATTGAGCATTCCGAAGACTATAAATAATATGAATTACGAGAGCAGTGTAGCAAGATATGCGGCCTCAAACCTTAGCTGGTCCGTCTTACCCCACCTTCCCCTACCTATTGACAACATTTATCTGGTTCCTTATCATTTCTAGGTACCCCTGTAAGGGATAACGGTTCTTGCGGCACCCCCGCATTGCACGGTCCTTGTCCCGCGGGACATGAGATCGCGAACGGACCCCGGGTCATGGGTCACCGAGCTAAGGCCAGTTTCACACAGATTGCCCGCCCGAACGGCCGCGGCGCAATATGAAGGTCAGTAATTTATACCTATGGAGAGCTGAACCAGGCAATCGGCATACTCCAGGCCGAAATGACACAGCGCGCCATTGTTGATCAGACATCTGCCTGCACAGTCCGGCACTTGTGGGACACGCATATGGCTGCTGGCAGTGATGCTGATCGTTCCAGATCGGGCGAATCAAACCTGCCGGACTTCTGAAGGAAGGAAGTGTATGCCGCCTACTATCCGGACCTAATCCTGATCAAGGAACTTTGGGTCATCGTCCAGCAGGGCCTGGACAAACGGAGGCCGGTGCCCAGCTTCAGCGCCCTGCAGTTACGGCTCAAACGGGCGTGGTCGAAAATCAAGCCGGCTGTGCTGCACAACCTGGTCGCCAGCATGCCAAATTGCGCTCGTGCGTAAATCCCTGTTCGTGGGGAATATACTTAATATACTTATATACTTAACGTTGAAAAGAATCGCTACCTTTATATAGCAACGTCCAGAGAACATTTTTTATGCGACAAGCCCATGCCGGACCTGAGTCAGGTCGAGGTCAGATCAAGGCTAAAAACTGAAGAAAAAATCTTTATTATCGGTGTTGGAGCGCAGTTGGCGAAGAATGCACAGGACTTCGACTCCAGGCTCGGACGTGTCAATACTTAGATTCAATCATGTCTTAGTTGGTTTTCACTGAATTTCACATACACTCGATTTTCACCAGCCCTCTACGCTGACACAAAATTTTAGTGTCAAAGTCGGGGTTTTTTTCCAACTCTGGCTAAATGTCTACGGCATGTTCAAGTGCCGGTATAGTATCACTGGCTACTGAGGGACGAACGGAGGCTCCTAAAGCCCCACTGAACTCTAAGAAGGGCTCCCACACTAGCTTCCGGGGAACCCAAACCGACCTCTGAGGGCCCATCAGGCCGGCACTTGTGAACACCACTCTGGTCTCCCACTGTTGATACTGAATGCTCAGGCGCAGATCTTTGAGGGCCAGTTGGGCAGTCCTACGGGCCTCCGCTGGCCTCAACGGCCCCCATACTGGCCTCTGAGGGCCCCAAAGGTGTCCAAGGACCCTTGACAGCCCCTCGGGGCCAATTTCGACTTTGATGACCATCCTTACCGCAGGTCTATGTATGCCGGCCTACACGGATCTTTGGACACGGATCTTCAAAGATTTTTGAAAACCTTTGCTGACCTCAACAACCCAGCCGGGCTCTTGAGTCTTGAGTGTTCTTGAGTGTTCTCTTGAGGGCTCTTGAGGCAACGCAGGGTTCTTGCAGACCCAAAACCGGCATCTGAGGGGCCACGTGTGCCTCTGGGCAGGTCTGTGGGGTCGGGGTCGGAGTCGGTCGGAGTGGACAGCTCTGACCGGAGCCGGACTCGGTTTGGGAAGCCGGGGTCGAAGTCGAGTCGAAGACACCACAAAAATCCATCACAGAAACTTTGTATGCAACCTACGGATTTTCAAAAGGGCGAGCCGATTGCCTGGATCCTTTTTAACTTCTTCTGGATGAGGATGGGGAGCATGGCTATCGAGGGCTTAGCGTAGGCTTCTAAAAAGCCCCACTGAACTCCAAGAAGGGTTCCCACACTAGCTTCCGAGGAATCGGGTACAAGCCGACTTCTGAGGGTCCTCAGGCCGGCACTTGTGAACACCACTCTGGTCCCACATTGTGATTCTGAATGCTCAGGCGCAGGTCTGCATCTGCACAGTACCTACACAGACAGGGGCCCATCTGAGAGAGGGGATCCGGGTTCTTTCCAGCTGTATCCTCCGCATTAAAATAGTCTGCCCTGCTAAAACTGACGTAACGGGCAATGGGTAAAGCATTGATTTTACCGAAGTCGTCCTCTCTAAAAAAAACCTTATGCATATCATAGCTAGAAAAAAGGCATTGTAACCACTACATTTCTCGCGCTAGGGCGCGTCGAATGACAAATAAAACGTGAGAGTAATGCATGTAGAAAGGCATGATTAGGGAAACACCAAATTGGAAATTAGGTACCTCTCTGACCGACCATTTTCCGAATCAATTTCGTTTTATCGGACGACCGAAAGTTCAGTCTCAAGTAGAAATCATTGCAAAAGCATTTCACAAAAACGCATTTTATCAAGATCGTCTCTCCCGTCCTCAGCTCTCAGTTCGGCCGTCCTTACACCGTCAGGTAGCGCCGTTGTACGGCCAGTTTTCAGCGCCATCTGTACCGGCTGACTCCGGACTGGACGAGGAGTGAGCTCTGAGTTCTCACACAAGCTAGCCTGGACAACCTACATGTATTTTACTGAGTCGTTTCGTCACGTAACCTTAGAAGAAAAACTAGAAATTAGCTAGTGTCTTTATCATCAGTGACTAGGTATCTTAGGATACGCTAAACCAAAATGGGGAAGTAGAATAAGCCAGATAAAGATAAAGCGTGGGTTAACATTAATAATTTAAGTATGGCCGTCTATGTGTGCATCATTGCTAACATTTCTTGAGCAAACAGCTTCTTCCGTCAGATACCTAGGAACTGAATGATCCGTACCCATACCACGAACTCACATGGTCCGTCTCTCTTCCAGCTCCCATATTCTCCGTCCAGCAGAGGGCGCCACCTCTGCCGGTCCGGCGCCGCCGCCCCCGGCCGGAGCGGCTGCCCCGCCCTACACCACTCGCCCGCCAGACCCGGACCGAGCCAGACCTCCGCTGTTCGCCGCGCGACCGCCACCCACCGTCCGTCGCCATGTCCAACAACCGTGCCACCAAGTCCGGCTTCGCCGCCGAGGCCCAGAAGAAGGTGAGTGACCTGCGGTGGTGGAGGGAGGGTGGGGTAGTGGGCAATCAAACTCGGGAGGGGTGCGTTGGGTTACGGCGCATAACACCACATGAAATGCCGTGATGAATGTAGAGCATTGATGCTGATTCTAATGGAGGAATGTAGCCGAGTGTCCGCGATGTCTGGTCGTTCACACGGCTGACTGTGTGGGTTACGGCCGTGCCATCGGTGTCGGTTCCGGTGGGTGGGGAGACCACGGTGGTCCGGTCCGATCAGAGGCCGGACCATACCGGTTAGGTCCCTATCAGCCACAGCCGCCATGCTGCAAGTGCACACAGTTGAATCCGCATGAATGACTTGGCAAACATTGCACAGGACGGCAGAGCGTGATGGCTCAGCACGGCACGGCACTTTGCCAATCGGTAACCCAGAGATAGGAGGTGAAGACTGGTGAAGGATCGTCGGAAAGTTTGCCGACCGTTTATCTGATACGTTCTCTAGGTCTAGGGTCGCGCGTACTCGTGCGCTCAAGCCTGTTCGCCCCAGTAACTTTCTAGCTTCCAGAGTTCAATGAGAGTGCATTTCAGATGAACTATATAAAAAGAAATATAATATCAAAAAGAAATTTAAAAAGCAACGCGTACTTATTCCACATTCAACCTACGTGCTGAAACTTAGTTAACTCGTTCAAAAGGCTTTTCTGTCCCGTCATAGCCGACCTAAACTCCGCTGCGCGATGACACGTCCACGGTAGACGGCGAAAATGTCAAAGCTATCACGTTATTTTATCGCCATCTATCCTATTCGGCTCCAAGCGCTACCGCCTCTGAAAGCTTCACGATAACTAAGAACACGTATTTGATTGGTGACGGCACGCTAAGCCCGGGATAGAGCGGGATTAGCCCGAGGGTGTTAGCGTTGTGAGAAAATGATATCGCGGTAAGTTCGCCTCTCGAGATTGAGCTCACCGGTAGCCAAAAGATAGACGCCGTTCAGATAGCAGTGCTACTGTCTAAAGTCATGGTGGTACGGCGAGTGTCACTCCGCTCTCACACCGCCGCGCCGGTGACAGGGCTGACATATGACAGGCGACACGCGGCTGATGGACTGACGGACCCCTATACGGGACCGATGCCGGCACAAAAAGCCAGCCCGAGCGACTCGCATGTGTTACCACCATCCGGCACGGACGGCTGTGCAGTGTGCAGCGCTGGCGAGCCACTTGGGACGGACTGACACAGGGCTGCCACTTGTGCACCCGGCGGCTGTGAGCCGAGCGGGTTCGGCCTTGCAGGCTGCCGCAGCCACGAGACGCCGCTGAAGGGGAGAGGTCAGACGAGTCTGATAACGGCTGGTAATCCCTGGCCGGCGGCGACCACCTTCCTCTCCGCATGTAGTGCCAGGGCCTGTAAACTTCATTATAATTAAATATGTTCATTGTTCTGTCAGCATTTTCTTGATCATAGTCTTCTTTCTCCTTTTTCTTTTAAATATAAATCTCAACTCACGAACCACGCTCCTCATTTGCTCGAGAAATATGATCGTGACATGGAAAGGGTTTCCCTGGAAGCGTTGGACGAGCTGAGAATTTACCGGAGAACAGCCGTGTCTGGCCCGTCCACTCTGTCACACATCTGTGACTGTGACCGACTCATCTGTGACTGTCTCCGCGGGACTCACTCCGCCCCGGTGCGGCCGGCAGATGGGTGATGGCACCGTCCAGCCGTTCCCAGACTACACCGCAGACGTTTGTCTCCCGGTGTGACTGTCGTGGCGGTCTGAGACCGCGGACCGTCACCGTTTGACTCGGCTGGAGACCGCGGCTGTCTCAGACCACGGACCAATGTCCAGGACCGACCAGGGACCGCTCTGAGGGTCGGTGGTGGCGCCGTCAGTGGCAGTTTCTGTGAACGGACCGCGACGCCGCCACCGGTCACTGCCACTCGACTATTCACTAGCTCCCGACCAATCCCCGGTGTCAGCTCGTTGACCGTCCCATCCAGCTGCCGTCGCTCGGAGCGGTCCAGCGCGGCCCTAATCTGGTGTAAAGCCGGCCTATTAGTGGCCAGTGGGCGGTCGGCGGCGCTTTCAGACGCCGTCAGCCGCTCGGGTCGGCCCGTGACACGCCCCAGACAGCGGCATCTGGCTGCGGAATGTGCCCGGGCAGATATCCGGCCGCGCGCGCCCCGATAGACAGGCTCGGCTCCGCGGTGGGCCGCCGGCTAATCGGCACGCGTGAATGGAATTGCGTGACGCGCCACCGCCACGCGCTACCCACTAATTATCGCCGTGGTCAGTCCACGCGACACGGCCGTTCCCGCGGTAACTGGGGTGAATTTACCGGCGGTAGCCAATTAGTTTCCAGTTTTAGCAGATGTAAAGGGCCGTTTGACGTGGAAGGGCTCCGCCCGGACAGTGGGGCCGCCGTCGTGATATCACAATCATGGACCTCAGTTTTGTCTGGCTCCAGTCGCTCCGGGCCGACGCTCCGGACTGCGGTTCCGGCTGGCTGGCGCAGCCCTCAGCTCCGACAGCCTCCTCCATCTGCCGCCGGCGGGCCCGCGCGGCCTTGGCCGGCCGGCGCACCCAGCGGGTGCCGCTCGGGGTGCCGGCGGGTGCGGCGGACGCACCCAGCGCCCACCGCCCGCCGACCCAGCACCCAGCGCCAGCCCGCCGCTCGCTGCCCGTCGCTGCTATCGCCATATAAGGCGTCCGTCCGTCCGTTCGAACAGCCAAGGCCGCTCAGGCGCCGTCGAGCTGACTGGGAGCTCGGCTGACGAGCGCGCCGGCGCGAGCGGCATGGCTGGGAGCTGAGCTCAGAGTGGAGCTAAGAGCTGAGCTAAGAACTGAGCTGTAGGCTATAGGCGGTCAGCTGCACTGGAAGCTGAGTTTGGGGCTGGTCTAGTATGGCAAAAAAAGGATATCCACAAATTCGATCATGCGTAAATATATGGAAGTTGGACAGCTCGTCGATGGGAGGTGTCCGAGGGGCGGAGGCAGCCCCACCTCTCAGTTGGTCCCATAACAAAAGGCCAACCAATCCATAAATCCAACGGCGGCAGACTACCACGAGCTGTCGACACCGAGTATTCAGTATTTACATCCTAAGGGCCGAGATCAGTGGCGCCGGCCGGTCAGCCGGGCACCCCATCCATACATCCTTCCCCTGCGACATTAATCAGACAGAGAGGCAGCAATGTTTGTAAACCACACCGTCATTGGCGCCATCCACGGAATGCACAAGCGCACCAAAGAGGTGAAGTCAGTGCTAGAGTCGAGGCTCTTCGGGCCGGGTCCGGAAAGGTCCACAAGCCGCCATGGTCACTGGGCAACCATTTCCCTATACGCCCTACAGCGCACTCGTTTGGCGCTTCACTCGTCTTTCCACGCTCGGGTAATTCTCCCCACACTCCAACTATCGCCTCCCTCCCTCCAGTTATCGCTCTGTGGTTCGGCACTGCATCCCTTTCCTCTTGCAGTAAAAACAATACCAACGTCCCCGCCTCCACTTCCGTCTTTCTTTCCTCCTTTATCTCCACCTCTGCACACTCCTTCCGACACAGGCCTCCCGCCGCCCACACCGTCCACCGTCCACCATCCGCCGTCTGCCGCCAAACCTCCGCCGTCTGCCGTCTACACTTTGCTCTTCCGCCACCCACCGCGGTTCCACCGCCCGCCGTGGGACAAACCCACCGGTGGGGTGCGCTGACCGCTCTCGGCGTATGCAAATGTCCACCGGTCGGCGCACCTTCGACCGACAGATGGTCCCAGGTCCGGCCACGGGCCGCTCGAGGGTCATACTCAGCCAGCAGTCATGAGTTCGAACGCCTCACACAGCCGGCGCGGCGGTCGGTTATACGGGTGGAACAGGCCCGGTGAGCAGCTGAGCTGAGCTGACAGTGTGAGCGGATGTCAGCCGTCAGCAGCCGTTCGTCAGCGATCAGCGGGCAGTGATCGGTCTAGGCGTGCCTGATATGTTACAATGTGCAATGTCAGCAGTTCCATGGCTGCTGAAGCGCTGAATCGCCAACCGTCTCATCTGCCGCTACATGAACCGCTGCACTGGCCCTCCTCTGGCCAGACTGAGGCCAGTAGGGTGGAGCCGTCTCGCACCCGGGGCTAACCGCCTGGGGAGCAGACACAAGGGACAAAGACGGCTACGCCTCGCCTCAGCTGCATGTCCTTGCACAGGCGCGCTCATTTACGTGTTGTGGCAATTTCGAACGCCTGGGTGCGCTCAGTCGGTGACTGTTGTTCCGGCGGTTTCGGTGACTCATCTCCAGCCTCAGGCGGCAACGGCGGCACCAGAGCTGAGGCGTCGGCAGTGAGGGCGAGGGCGAGCGGAGAGGGTGCGCCGGCGCGCGCGCTCACTCCTCCAACCGACCCTCCAACGGCCGCCGCCGTCCCGCCGGCCGCCCGAAAGGTGTGCCGCGTTTGAATGTTTGGCGCGGCAGCGCTGTCAGCCGCAGGAGATCCGGTCTCGCTCGCGCAGAGCCCACCTGGCGGGCCCGCAGCAGCGGAGCTGGTCCGCGCGGAACCCGCTGTTGCTGGGAGGGGTCACACGGGACGCTGAGGGCGACGAGGTACCGCTTGGTGACAAAGTGCCCTGCCGGCTGTCCTGTGACACTTGTCAGGCGCGTTGGTCGTCCGGCGCCGCGGTAAGCCAATGATGGACGGTCGTGCCGCGGCGTAACTCGTACACAGATGACGTCAGTCTGCGGTGACTGGGACGTCAGTGACGTGGGTGCGGTGCGCGGAACCGCCGGTGGTCCAGCGCCGTCAGCCCGGCCCGGCTGCCATTTAGGGTGCGGGGAGCCGACAGCTCTGCCCGAATACCATTCAGGGTGTGGGACACCGACAGCCGGACTGGCGGCTGAATCACTAGTCAGGCGACCACTTCGCCGGTGTGAAGGCCCGACTTGAAATGAGCGAGGCAGTGCCCGGCCGCGGTCCTCACACGCGGAACGGGCGTGAAACGATCACGGAGCGGGACCACCTGTCTTGGTGATTGGGCTGCGATC